CCCTGCTTGCTGTCTGCCTCGTTCCCCTGCTTGCTGCCTGCCCCATGCCCCTTTCCCCCAACCGCACCCCCCACCCCCCATCAGAGCCACTCAGCAGGCCTAGGGGAGCAGTGGCAAGTGTATGTGGGCATCATGGGGTTGGTCATTCTCACCAAGCTCATCCTCTTCCTCTACTGCCGCCTCTTCTCCCCCCCTGCTTGCTGTCTGCCCCGTGCCCCTGCTTGCTGTCTGCCTCATTCCCCTGCTTGCTGCCTGCCCCATGCCCCTTTCCCCCAACCGCATCCCCCACCCCCCATCAGAGCCACTCAGCAGGCCTAGGGGAGCAGTGGGGCGTGTATGTGGGCATCATGGGGTTGGTCATTCTCACCAAGCTCATCCTCTTCCTCTACTGCCGCCTCTTCTCCCCCCCTGCTTGCTGTCTGCCCCGTGCCCCTGCTTGCTGTCTGCCTCATTCCCCTGCTTGCTGCCTGCCCCATGCCCCTTTCCCCCAACCGCACCCCCCACCCCCCATCAGAGCCACTCAGCAGGCCTAGGGGAGCAGTGGCAAGTGTATGTGGGCATCATGGGGTTGGTCATTCTCACCAAGCTCATCCTCTTCCTCTACTGCCGCCTCTTCTCCGACGATATCGTTCAGGCCTACGCGCTTGTGAGTGAACCCCATGTGTAGTTAGTTTCCAGGCGCCTCGAAGGTTATTTATTCTCACCAAATTCATCCTCTTCCTCTACTGCCGCCTCTTCTCCGACGACATTGTTCAGGCCTACGCACTTGTGAGTGGGGCGTATGTTGCACCCCGTGTGCTGTGCTGTTAGTTTCTAGGCGTCTCACAACTCATGCTCACCAACCTCATCCTCTTCCTCTACTGCCGCCTCTTCTCCGACGACATTGTTCAGGCCTACGCACTTGTGAGTGGGGCGTATGTTGCACCCCGTGTGCTGTGCTGTTAGTTTCTAGGCGTCTCACAACTCATGCTCACCAACCTCATCCTCTTCCTCTACTGCCGCCTCTTCTCCGACGACATTGTTCAGGCCTACGCACTTGTGAGTGGGGCGTATGTTGCACCCCGTGTGCTGTGCTGTTAGTTTCTAGGCGTCTCACAACTCATGCTCACCAACCTCATCCTCTTCCTCTACTGCCGCCTCTTCTCTGACGATATCGGGCAGGGCAGGCCTATGCTATCGGGCAGGCCTATGCTATCGGGCAGGCCTATGCTCTCGTGGGTTCCATGTTCCCCCCCATGTGTGGTATCTTTCAGGCATCTTTGAAAGAACCTTTGAAAGAACCTTTGAAAGAACCTTTGAAAGAACCTTTGAAAGAACCTTTGAAAGAACCTTTGAAAGAACCGTTGAAAGAACCTTTGAAAGAACCTTTGAAAGAACCTTTGAAAGAACCTTTGAAAGAACCTTTGAAAGAACCTTTGAAAGAACCTTTGAAAGAACCTTTGAAAGAACCTTTGAAAGAACCTTTGAAAGAACCTTTGAAAGAACCTTTGAAAGAACCTTTGAAAGATATAGAGAAAACCAAATTCCACATTCCACTCCATGAGTCTTTTTTTTTTCTCTCTCATTCGACATGACAGCAGTGTTGACGTGAAGCTATGTCCTCAACTATTCCCTATCTTTCCACGCACTCCTCATGCCCCTCCCCCCCCCCCCCCCACCGCATCCATCCACCAGGGGCACATGCTGGATGTGGTAACCAACGCCGTGGGCCTCACAGCAGCAGCTGCTGTGCTGGAAGGAGTCACTTTCTGATGCACCCCATAAGCTGTTCAATGACCCGCATAGCCAATGCACTACACGCCCCACACCCCACCCACCCACCCACCCACCAGGATCACATGATGGATGTGGTAACCAACACCGTGGGCCTCACAGCAGCAGTACTGGCGGGGAAGTATGCCTGGTGGATCGACCCTGTCGGTGCCATCTTTGTACGTCCCTTCCCTCTCTCCTCCACTCTTCTCTTCCTTTATCCTTGCTTATCCTCCTTGTGAGATGCCTCAAGAGCAAGACGCAAAGCAGCAGTGCTGGCGGGGGAGTACGCCTGGTGGATCGACCCTGTCGGTGCCATCTTTGTGAGTATCGCTCTTTTACTCTACTCGTATCGTACCTCCCCTAATCATTGCTTTTGCGGCGCCTCAAAAGTCGCCTCGCAGCAGCAGTGCTGGCGGGAGAATACGCCTGGTGGTGGATCGACCCCGTTGGTGCCATCTTCGTACGTCCCCAGTCATCTCTCTCTCTCTCTTATTCCTTGCTCTTGAGGCACCTCAAGAGTACTTTTGAGGCGCCTCAAAAGTCGTTGGTGCCATCTTCGTACGTCCCCAGTCATATCTCTCTTGTTCCTTGCTCTTGAGGAGCCTCAGGAGTGGTCCTCGCAGCGACAGTCTGGCATGGTCAACAGACAGGCAGCTCACCATCCTCCCGTCCCTTTCCCTTCTCCCTCTCTCACCTCCCCCTCCCCCAGCTCGCCCTCTACACCATGTTCAACTGGGGCAACACCGTGCTCTCCTTGACCACACCCCCGACCCCCCCACCACACCTCCCTGCCCCCCCACAATGCAGCTCGCCCTCTACACCATGTTCAACTGGGGCAACACCGTGCGCGAGAATGTCCGCTCTTTGACTGTTGAGTCGACGCAAATGTCACTCACCCCGCATCTCCCCCTTCCACCAACCGCTCCCCCCTCCCTTCTCCCTGCCACCCACCAGCTCGCCCTCTACACTATGTTCAGCTGGGGCAACACCGTGCATGTGCGCTCACCAACCCCTCCCCTTCCTCTAGAAACTCCCATTCGTCCCTTCCCTCTATCCTCCCTCCGCCCCCTCCAAATGCAGCTCGCCCTGTACACCATGTTCAACTGGGGCAACACCGTGCGTGAAAACGAGCGCTCCCTGACTGTTGAGTCAACTCAAACAACAGCTCAACACCCCTCCTCCCTCCCCACCTCTCCTTTCCCCTTTTCCCCTCCCCAGCTCGCCCTGTACACCATGTTCAACTGGGGCAACACCGTGCGCGAGAACGTGCGCTCTTTAACAGGACGAACGGCGCCGCCCGCCTTCCTGCAGAAGCTGACGTACCTGTGCTGGAACCACCACCGGGCGATCCTGGCCATTGATACCGTGCGCGCATACACCTTTGGAGCATCTTACTTCACTGAAGTGGATGTTGTGCTGCCTGAAGACATGCCACTCAAGGTAGGTACAAGCAGATCCTGGCCATTGACACAGTGCGCGCTTACACGTTCGGCGCGTCTTACTTTACTGAAGTCGATGTTGTGCTGCCTGAGGACATGCCGCTTAAGGTATGCCACCGAAACTAGATAAAAGGCCGCGTAAGGTACTGTTGCAAATGTTTCATGACTCTTATCGCTCCCAACGCTCGCTCTACAGTTTTTACTCCAAATTTTGATACGGTAAGCCAGGCTGACACATCTCCTGTTTGTTTATTTTTCCCTGTGCCACATTTTGATTTGATCTCCCATTTTTCCAGGAGGCACATGATATTGGGGAGGCACTTCAGAACAAGCTGGAGCGGTTGCCGGAGATTGAGAGAGCATTTGTTCATTTGGATTACGAGGTTTCTCATCGGCCCGAGCATCACCACCATCTCTCCACGTTCAATGTCGGCAATGGAGTGTCTCCCAGTAGCTTTCCTAATGACCCAAGGTCTCCATGACCGGTTCAGTTAGTCTTCGCCTCTCTTTTAAGTATAATTTGTTACAAACTGCGGAAAAGCCGTACTCCATACATTCAGACATGTTTTTCTCGGTTTGTGCGTTTTTCCTGTTAATGTATTATTGGTTGAATGACGCAGGCTGTGCAGCAAAACATGGGACAAAATATAACTGTATCATGGTTGACAAATTCAGATGTGCACGAATCCTTCTGTTTCCAAACGGGGTGGCGTGGCGTAGCGGAGATATGCGTTCGGCAACTTCAAGATCTCCCCCTTCCTCTTTGCCTTCAGCCCTTGGTTCCCCTCTCGAAGAAAGCCAATTTGAGGCATTTCAGTTCGGCCCAGGTATTTCACATAAGATCCACGTGGATAGTTACTTGTCAGTATCAGTTGCCATGGCGTCCCTAGACCCGTTTTTCCACCTGACCAGCCTTCCCTACGTCATTCTCCGCCCGCCGAAGCTCCGCCTAAGGCTCCCAACTTTCTCCTTCCCGGATCCTATGGTCGTCTACTGCTTCGTAATTTTCAGCTATTTCCTCGTCGTTTCCGGAATCGTCTTCGATATGATTGTCGAGCCTCCCGGCATCGGCGGCCATCAGGATGAAGCCACAGGAAAATTCGTTCCCGAGGTCATAATGGCGGGAAGACTTAACCAGCAGTACATTATCGAAGGCCTTTCGTCTGGATTTATGCTCGTGATGGGAGGTCTTGGGATTATCCTGATCGACTGGGCTTGCGACAAGCTGCAGACGAAGAACATGCGGCTGGTGTATCTGGGAACTGGGCTGTCCATGGTGGTTATTAGCTACACGATGAGCATGGTGTTCCTGCGGATCAAGATGCCTGGCTACCTCCACTAGGTCTTGCATCCTGTGAAGGATGGATTTGGGTTACTACGTCTGCTCCTAGTGGTGGCTGAAGCAGCACAAAGTGGGTTTTTCCTTATTTCAGCTTTTGCACTTATCTTGCTTTCTCAGTCGCCACTGATCATTGTGCACATTGCAGGAAGATTGCAATTAAAATAGCGGAGCATTTTCTTATACCACATAATCAAGCAGGTTTACTTCAGCCATCATACGGTAGAATGGAAGAGCATAATGCCAACTGAGCTGATTTTACTGCTTAGAACCATCACTGGTGCGTGTACAAGGGGATGAGAAGAACCACCAGTATTGACATTATACAAGGAGCCAGGCAGCCTAAAATACATGAACATATTTCATTATCAGGATGCATAGCATGTCGTACATTTACTGACACCAACCTTCCCCTAGTTGCAGCATGGAGAAAGCACTAGTTGCTCATTCACCATAGTTGTCAAGATTCAAGATGCAGTGAGCCAATCATTGAGGTCAGGAAGTCGAAGATCTGACTTCGCATCCCTACCTCCTGCACTGCGCGGCGCCACGTGGAATCCATTCACTGCGCGCTCAGCAGCATGCTCCGATACAGTAACCTCTGGTGGTTGTGACCTCAGTCCAACCCCCTGGCCCGCTGCTGCATTACCACCACCTCCATAAAAACCGTTTCCACCAGCGAACGCACTCCCTTTGTTAAGACCAAGTGCATTACCTTCACCAGGCATGCCCCCCCCATGACGCATGTTACCTCCGCCAAGAATGTTACCCCCACCACATGGAGTGCTTGCTCCTAGCGGAGTGTTCCCTCCGCTCTCTGTTTCTGAGAGCTCACAGGCTGACATTTCTAAGTCCAGCAGTACTCTCCGCTTCGGTACCATGCTGGCACCTGATGCTGAGCTGGTTAGTGCTGAGCTGGTCAGACCTGGGCTGGCGAGTACCGAGTTGGGCAGAGGCAGTGCAGGGTTGCTTAGTGTAGGGTTGGCTTGTGATGAGTTTGGCCAAGTTGAGTTGGCCACAGCTTCCCGTGCTGCTTCCATCATCCCGTTTCGGTGACCAGCTGTTGGATGCCAGGTGCCATTAGTGCCATTGGTAGCAGTGCTAGCAGCAGCACCAGCAGCCACAGCAGAAACTTCATAAGCGCCATTCTGAGAAGCCCTCTCTGCCGCTGACCCAACCATCTCCTTCCGCCCATTCGCCTCGCAATGCCTTCTCAAAACACTCAGCACCGTACCATTCAATCTGCCTGGGATATGCAGGCCCTGACTTGAACCGCCAGTTGCCTTTACAGCCTCCTTACCCTTAGACGCGTCCAATGCTGATCCAAGGATCTGGGGGATGCCATTAGCCCCCCGCTTCCTCTTTTCTGTCTCAAGCACCACATGACTCAACTGTTGCATCCCACCCAAAGCTTGGCTGGACCTATGCACCTCTTGCGATTGCTGCTGCTGCTGTTGCTGCTGCTGGAAGTGCTGCCGCCCATGCCATGGCTGCCATGGCTGCTGCAGCAGCTGCTGCTGCCAGTGCTGCGGGAGCTGCTGCTGCTGCTGCTGCTGCCGCAGGCTGTTGGGCCCTGAGCTGAAAGGAGGCATGGTGACAGCAGCAGCGGGCAGGGTGGCACCATTCGAGGGGAGCGTGACAGGCCGTGGAAGCTTGAACACCTCCCACGAGAATCCAGACGCAGCAACGTTGTGTGCAAAGGACTGGTAGTCCTTGCTCTGAGACGCTGCGTTGGGAGCAGCGATTTGTTGTGCGCCCCCAGCTGATTCGCCCCTGACTGCCACAACTGCTCCTTGCTCTTCTGGTAGACGCAAGGCCGCAGCAGAACCGTCATTACCCCTGGCATTCTCAGCACCACGTGCAGCTGCTTCAGCAGGCGTTGCACTCAAGGAGGGAGCGTCTGCTTCATCATCGCACATCTCATTCAGATCCATAAGTGCTGCCTTGGGAACCGCAGCAGCTGGAGAAGCAGCAGGGGAAGCAGCAGGAGAAGACACAGCTGCAGGAGCGGCAGCAGGGGAAGCACCCAAGGAGTCAAGAGGCTCAGAATGATCCGCAGGCTGAAGCTTCTGCTGCTCCTGTTTGCTCCGCGGCAGCGCTTCTCGCTCATGCCTCCTCTGCTCTTTCAGCACCTTCCTCGCCTCACGCTTCTCTGCCCTTTCTCTCCTCTCCTGCTCCTTCTTCGCCCGCCGTTCCACCCTCTCCTGCTTCCGAACCCGCTTCGCTTCCTTCCTTGCGACCCTCTCAGCCTTCCGCCGCTCCCTCTCCTCCTTCTCCTGCTTCTTCCTCTCCCTTTCCTGCCTCTTCTTCTCAACCTTCTGCCTTTCCTCCTCCGCCTGCGCTTGCCATTTCAGAGCCACCTGAAGATTCACCCTCACAGCCTCTCTCACCGCCTCACCCACTCCCACCACCTCACCAACACCAGACCCACACCCCTCTCCCACCTCACCCCGTCCCTCCATCACCCCCCCATCCTCCCCCACCACCTCCCCTCTCTCCACACCTCCCTGTACTCCTCTAAACACCTCACTCGCCCGTTGAAACGCGTCCACAGCGTCGTTCCAGCGGCCAGCGGCGGCAGAGAGCAGGGCGAAGCTGCAGAGGGAGGGGCCGTGCGTGGGGGCGAGGAGGAGGGCGTTGTGTGCAGCTGAGAGGGCAGCAGAGAGACGGCCCTGGGCGCGCAGAAGGAGAGAAAGGTTGGACCAGGTCACATGGGATGAGGCCGCAGGAGGAGAAGGAGGTAGAGGAGGAGGAGAAGAGGAAGGAGAAGAAGATGGGTCGGTGGAAGGGCGAGGAGGCAGCGACGATGGGCAGTGCAGAGCGCGGGTATACGCTGCTTCGGATTCGTCAAGACGACCAGAAAGCTGTAGGCAGAGGCCTGCACACAAAACAGGTGAAGTGGAAATCCAGACACAACGCCACACAGATAGTTCAACATAGAAACTATCGAGAGGCGCATGGTGCTCGAGTCAATGTGATGGGACTCCGTAACTCCGTAGGATGGATAGGTGCATGGTGCCAGCTAAGATGTTAGATGCAGTGGGTGAGCGAGTAAAGCAGAGCTGAGGCGTTTGAACCTCTAGTTTGAGACATCTCCACTTTGAAACGGAGGGCTATGAATGTGGCACAAAGCTGGGCACAGCTGGTGTTGCAAGTCCGGCTCACCTAGGGAACTCCATGTGCCTGCCGATTGCTGGTGGCGTGAGAGAGCTCTGAGGAAGTGCGAGTGAGCTGCTGCAAAGTACCCCGTAGAAGACAGCTCAACTGCACCATTAGCATCTCTGATGTCCGCAGCAGCACCCCCCATTGTGGTGCCATCTTCCATGTCAGAAGCAAGTGAGTGAATGGCAGAGTGCAGTGCATGCACGCCCAGCTGATGGGCTCCGGTTCCCGCCCCTGCTGCTGCCATCAGAGACTGAATGCAGCAAGCGGGAGAGAGGAGAGGGAAGAGGGAGAAAGGAAGAGGGTGTAGGTAAGGGGCGAGGTTGGCAAGACAGAACCATGGGCAGAGGATGGACGAGAAAATGGGATGAGGAAGCGATGAGAGGAGAATGTGACATGAAAACTTAGGCCCTTCAGCTACAGCAACCCAAGCACTCATGCACCTTCTGGGCATTATGTCACCAGCCAACTCTGTAGCCCCATTCCACAGCCCCTCTCTGCACTGCAGCCACTCTCTTTCTCACCTGCTTCTTCCACGCTGCCAGCTTCAGCTCCTCTGCCTGTACCACCGCACATGCCAGCTCCTCATTCACCACCTCCCCACTCCCACCACCATCCCTGCTCCCAAAACCCTCCTCCTCCTCCTCTTCTTTGCACCTCTTCTCCTCGTCCTCCTCTCCATCCCCATCCTCTCCCCGTGATGCTGCACCAACCAACAGCGCCATTAACCGATTTCCTTTCCCCCCCCTCTCCATCTCCTCCTCACCCGCCAACCCCTCCTGTGCGCTCCCTCCATCAAAACACCCTGTTACAGTCAACCGCGCCTCCACCACAAACGCCCCCGTTTTAGTCACAATCTCCTGGAGCGTTCTCCGTTCAAGGGCTGCATGTGCATACCCCACCACGTCCCACGCCATCCACTCAGGCACATGGCTCAAAACGCTCTTGCGATTTCCACCATGACCACCATCAAAAGCACCAGCAGCACCAGCACTTGCAACATTAGTACCAGCACCAGTGGCACCAGGACTAGCACCAGCACCAGCACCAGTTCCAAAAATGATGGCAGAAGCACCATCACGTGAAAATGTGGGGACGCCGTTGGAGCCATACGTCAGTTCCGGCAGTCCCATCGCATCTGCCATCTCTGCAACGCCGCAGCGGATGTGCTGGGAGGCGAGGGCCAGAGGCAGAGGGGCATTGGCAGCAGTGGCGATGCGGTGGGCTGCTGCTGCGAAGCGCAGAGGCGCACTGGATGGCTGCAGCTTCAGAGCCTGCATTGCACCAACGAGGCCAGGCTTAGCGACGAAACAACAAGGTTGCAGAGGTTGCCAAAAAAAAAAAAAAAAAAAAAAAACAATCAATGAGGAAGAAACAAGGCGCGTCGGGGTTTACCTGTGACATGCATTTGGCAGCCTGCTTCCAGCTGCCTGTGCGGGTGGCGGCATGGGCAAGGTTGCACCAGAGGAAAGCACTATTCGGTAGCAGCTGCACTGCTGCTGTGGCACACTGCTGTGCTGATACCCCTGCCAAATCCCCTGCAGCCGCTGATGTTGCCACACTCTTTTCTCCTCCTCCTGTCATTGCACCTGCTTCCGCTGTGCCCGTTGCTGCTGAAGCCAACTCTGCTCCTTCTGTCTTCGTCACATCAACCACAGCACCAACAACCGGAGCTCTCTCCTCTTCGTCTTGCTGCTGCTGCGATTGCTCCTGCTGCTGCGAATTCTGGTGCTGCTCCAGTTTCTGCTCCTGCTGCGGCTTCTGCTGCTGCATATGGCTGGGTCCTCTGCTGTGGTGCCGCTGTGTGGCAAGCAGCAGGGCGGAGTAGGAACAGAGAGCAGCTGGGTGCTGCGGCTCCCTCTGCAGCACTGCCTGCAGGCATGCCGCAGCCTCCTCGTACCTTCCCCTGAAACAACGAAGAACAGGGAAGCAGGCAAGTGGAATTTTTTTTTTCAGGGGAAGTGAGCAGGCGAGAAGAGGACAGGACAGAAACGGCTCAGGTGCTACACATGCATTTCACAAAGACACATACAGTCTACAGACACAGCAGGACAGCACGACGACACTTACACATGCAGCAGGGCGGCCCCTAGATTGGCAAGAGTGTCAGTGTCGACGGGAGAGGTAGGGTTCGCAGTGCTGACGGTGCTGCCAGCAGCATCACCGCTTGTGCCAGCTTCAACGCTTGCCAGCTGTTGTGACAAGACTTCCAGGGCTTTCTGCAAGGCATAAGCCAGAGGGACACGGGGAGAGAAAGGGCTTTGTGACGTCTCCAATGATGCTACCACCATCAGACATGCTGTGCCATTCTAAACGCTTGCCAGCTGTTGTGACACAACTTCCAGGGCTTTCTGCAAGGCATAAGCCAGAGGGTGATGGGGGAAGAGGGCTTTCAGACGTCTCCCATGCTGCCAGCAACATCACCGCCTGTTGCGCCTATGCCGAAGCATGCCATCTGCACTGACCGGACTTCAAGGGCTTTCAGCAACGGATGGATGGATAAGCTGATTGAGATGGTGATTGAGAGGAGGAACCAGCTGAAACAGAAACAGGGAGAGAGAGAGCAGAAGGTCACGGATCAAACAGCGTCGATACACACTGCGCAGCGCACACACCTCTGTTCGCCCGTACAGCAGGAGCATGACAGCGAGGTGATTGGTCGTAGCCATCCCTCCCCCTTCCACTGCTCTCTTCAGAGCCCCACTGCCTTCAACATCACCAGGGGAATCCCCAACTAGCTCAGCACCCTCTACTCCTCCTGCAGGGGACCCCCCCACTAGCTGTTCTTCCATGTGGCTACCAGCAGTACCAGCACCAGCACTACCAGCACCAGCACTAGCAGCATCACCAGCACCGGAGAAAGCACCACTGCCGGTGCTCCCGTCATCAGCAGCAGGAGCAGCAGGTGGCATTCCCAGTGACTGCTCTGCAACGTCCTTTGCTTCTGTAGCAGCGGCACTCGGAGCATCAACAGTAGCACCCGGATCACCAGCAGCATCAGCATGAGCAGTGGCATTAGCAGCAGCAGCACCAGTAGCAGCAGCAGAGCGATCGTTTGCAGCCGCCAAAGTCAAATGGCGAATCACATTGCGAATCACCACGTCCTCCTCCTGCTCCTTCTCCTCCTCCTCCTTCTCCTCCTCCTCCTCATCCCCCTCCGCCTCCTCCTCCTCAACCGCCTCACTCCTTTCCTCTTCCATCATTGCCACCTTTTCTTCTCTCGCACTCCCCTCTGCCACAAAAGCTCCCCCCCATCTACCCCCATCTGCATCCTCACATGGACCTTCAAACACATCTCCACCGCACCCCACCTCCATTTGCACCCCTTCACCCATCTGCACACCAGCTCCTTCCCCATCCCCCTCCCCTTCCATCTCCATCCAACGCTCCTCTTGCTCGGGAAAAACGCTCCGCCTCCGCTTCCTCTCCCCTTCCCCCTCCCGTTCACCTTGCCCCTCCCCTTCCTGCTTCAGATTTCGTTCACCCTCCCCCTCAACCTCACCCTCACCCCCTCCATCCTGTTCCACACTCTCTTCACGCAACTTGCACGCCTCCTCCTGCCTCAACCTCTCTTCCTTCCTCAGCTCTAGGTCTGCTACTGCAGCAAACATGTCCAGGGCACTGCACACCCGCTTCGCCTCCCTCCCCTCCACTTCCTCCTCCACCAACCCAGCCAGTCCAAATAACCCATCCAACACATCCAACCCATCCGTACCTCCCTCCACCGCTCCGTCTCCCTCAAACTTCCTCTTCCCAGTGACACTACCACCCCCCTGGTCCATGTCAGGCAGGCCCCGTTCCTCTCCATGCTTTTCCACATGGCAACTCAGCCCTGCCCCTTCCTTCTCTCTTGCTCGCTTTCCCCGCTTCTCCCCTTTTTTCTGCGCTTGGTGCTCCATCTTCACTCCCCGCCTTGGCCCCTTGAGCTGCCCTTTTGCCTGCACCTTTGCCTGCAACTTCACCTGATCTTTCACCTGTGCTTTGCCCTGTGCCTTGGCGCTGCTTTGCTTGTGCCCAGTGACAGTGGTGCCACCAACTACGTCGGCATCGCTTGCATGTGCTGCACGCTGTTGTTGTTGCTGCTGCTGCTGATTCTGCTGATGTTGTTTCTGCTGCTTATGCGGATGCTGCTGCTGCTGCTGCGAAATATTGAGATGCTGGTGATGGTGATGATGGTGGTGCTCCGCGTCAGCAGCAGCAGGAGCAGCGAGCATAGCCAGCTCGAGATGACACTGCAGCGAGGAAGCGGAGCAGGCATGGGGGCAAGAGACGGGAGAAGATGAGATGAGGGGGTGATGATCAAAGGAGAAGCGGTGGAGCAGAGAGGGCGTACTTGAGAATCCTCTAAAAAAAAACGGTGCCAGGTGCCACAAGCGGCACGTGGCGCAACGGATGCAAACGGAAACCAACCAACGGACCTGCGCCATGTGGCGGTGCGCAGCAGAGTGCAGGTCCCGCCTGGGCTGAGACATCCTCTCTTCCGGCAGGGCTGCCACTGCTGCCGCTGCGGCTTCAAATGCGCTCAACGCCTGGCCGAGAGGGAAGGTAAATTTGACGGAGGGAGAATGAGGAGAAATGCAGAGATGAGGTGCGACATTTTTTCCTCCGGCAGGGCTGCCACTGCTGCTGCTGCAGCTTCAAACGCACTCACTGCTGAGGAGGAGTCACGAGTTCACTAAGACAGCAGAGAACGGATGGCAGATGAGGAGAGATGATGAGAGCTGCACATACGTGCTGCCGGCGAGTTGAAATTTCTCAAAAAACGTAAGCACACGTTGTTTCCCAAGCCGCAGCCCCGTTTTGACGGAATGCCAAGCACTTGCTACCAACACCGCATTTCACAGAAGGATAGTACTGTGAATAAAATCGCCAATCGAATCGTGCATGCCTGAGGGAATGGCGCTCGCGGAACTTTCCGCGAGCACCTTGGCGGAAAGGCAGGCGGATCTTGGGAGCGCGCATGCGTTAGCGGAACGCGGAAACGCGCGCGCATACTTTGCGGGAACAGCTCCGCGAGAGAGCAGAGCGTGTAACTCTGCGGAACATTCGCGCGGAAGCCTCGCGAGCGAACCTCGGCGAATACCCTTCGCGCATACTCCGCGGACGCATGCGCACGCGTACCTTGGCGGGTTGATGCTCGCGGAGAAAGTGCAGCGCGAGGAAGAAATGCACCTCGGGGCTCTTGGGCTGCCGCTTCGCCATGTTCAGTAGCGCCTGCGATGCGACGGGACAAGACAAGTGTGGGAAACGAACGGGCAGTTCAAAAATCAGATAAGCAGTCAAGTATGTGAGGGAACGAGCTGCCGCTTCGCCATCTCCAGTTGCGTTCGCGACGGGACAAAGTGAAAGAAACGGGAGGGAAGTTGACGCATTAAGCACGAGGCAATCACGGAACGACGCCATGGAGGCGAGGAGTAGCGGGACTGGGCGGAGTGGCAGATCCAAAAGGAAATGCCAAGCGGCGGAGTCAGCGGCTAGATCCGTAGTTTCGACTCTATTTTAAGCGTATCTGTCAGACGATTTCGCTAGTCGTACTAATTGTCTGGGTTCTGTCGAGATACCGACCGTCTGACATCTACCTTTTTTTCTGCGCGGATAAGGAAGGCAGTCCTGGTCGCCGTCGTCACTGTCTACGCAAGACGAGCAGCGAATCTACGATCCAACGACTGAATTAACGAACGATGGCGAATAGTTGCGATTCTCGCCTGTGACGGCGGCGACCGTCACGGTAGTACCAGCGCAAAACCATGTGGAAACAAGTGGCGTTTGCGACGTCTGGAAACAGACCGGAAGCATGACAGCGTTGACGACGGCGACTGTCTGTGACGGCAGTACTAATGCAATCCGCCACGTCACGGTCTAGAGACGGCGGGGAGACCAAGGATGACCATATAGCGTCACACGCTCTACTAGTGTGCTGTTTTAGCCTGCCGCTGTCTATCTGTCACCAAGCTGGCGAGGATGACGGTACTGAGGCAACGGCAGTGACTTCTGAGTCGACTGAAAAGACACGCTCTACTAGTGCGCCGCTGTAGCCTGTTTCTGTCTATCTGTCACTATGGCGAGGATGACGCTACTGAGGCAACGGCAGTGGCGCCCTCGTCACGCGACGGGAGAGCATTGAAACCTTTTTCCGATCCTAAATCGGAGAAAATACGGTAAGGCGAGGGGCGACGGAGGGATGAATCAATGGCATTAAGGCTGCGGGTGATGATTGGCAGTCGAAGCAACGTACTGCTTTCAAGATCTTGGATCGGTCTTGAGCCGATTGGCAGGGTGGCGACGACGAAGACGACGGTCCCTGCTTCGCGGCTTGCTCCTTCGTCGCCTGCTCCTTTGTCGCAGGCTGCTTCGTCGCCGGCTGCTTCATCGCCTGCTGTTTTGCCGCCTGCTGTTTTGTCGCCTGCTGCTTCGTCGCCGGCTGCTTCGTCGCCGGCTGTTTAGTCGCCGGCTGCTTCGTCGCCTGCTGCTTCGTCGCCGGCTGTTTTGTCGCCTGCTGCTTCGTCGCCGGCTGCTTTGTCGCCGGATCCTTCGTCGCCTTTGAACAGCGCGCGGTTTGGGCCTTCATCGCCTCCTCGGGCGATTCTTCAAGAGGCCGTTTGCCCTGCGCTTTAGTAAGAGACGCCTTCCCTTTGGCACTCGTGGCTACCACCGACGGTTCGCCGATTCCCTTCGGAACCGTCGCCTTCTGTGTCATCATCGTCGCGGTTGTCGCCGTCGTCGCCGTGGTCGTCGTCGGCTCTTTCACGTGCTTTTTGCCGCTCACCGATGCGCCATTGGCCGTTGCAGAGGGCCGCTCCCGCTTTGCGGTGCGGACGCGCTTCGTCTCTCCCCTGCCGCCCGTGGCCGGGATTTCCAGAGTCTTCGCAACGATCGCCGGGTTTTTAGCTGGTACGCCAGGCGCCAACGCGACGGGCAGCGGTGGCCGATTCTTTGATGCGGGGACGCGATTGGCTCGCGGTCGTCCAGGGGATTTTGTCGCTATCGACGCTGGCTTCTCCGATTTGCTCGCTCGAGAAGATTCGACGCGAATCGTCGCCATTTTAACAAGGGGATGGTGGTGGGATGAGGTAAGAATTGGATGAACTACTGCGTGTGAAGCCTAAGAAATGGAGAGAAGCACGGAAATATAAATGGAGTCGAACGGATTTGAATGGTGATTAAGGATCTAGTGGTTTACGTCTGGGAAAAAAAAAACTGAGAAAAGAGAGGCTCCTGGTACATGAGGTTCGAAGGATTAAACGCGATGCGGGGGACAATATTACTGAACCACGCGTCGATGAGGCGTCCATAAAACTAAACTCCTCGCGGTACTGGTACGGCGGTTCTATATAGCATGGCAGACGTATTTTTTTATTTTATTGCCATGACATGGCAGTGCGGGATGCTTGGACTAAGCAGGCCTGGTAACTTTCAGAATTGCTGATTGTTCTGTGAGCTATGTAATTCTTGTTTGTGGTTATGACTGGTTGTTCCTGATGTGCTGTTAGCATTGGGCACTTCAATCTGACCTTGCCCTTGTCCCTCCCTGTAAGCCAGTTATTCTGGAATCAGCAGATGAAAGAGGCAGAGCAAGCCAGAGAGTTTCCGTTCCGCTCTCCTTGCCTCTCTTGGGTTTCTGTTTGGCTCGTCTCGTCTCTTCTTCTCGGCCCTGCTGTTGCTCTCCTCTCCTTTCCCCACCCCGCCTCGCTTCGTTTCGCCTCGCCCCCCGAGCAGCAATCTGCTTCGCTCAATCCGCCTCGTTCAACCCCTCGACCAGTTTTCGTCGTCCCCTTCGGACCATCTCTCCCGCCACATACATCCATGCGCCCGCTCCCCCCATCCCTTCTCCACACCCCCTACTGTATCTTTGGTTGGGTGGTCTGGTGGGGCTCGCCCATTCGCTCCGCTCGTACGTTCCACTGGCTGCCCATTTCTGCTCATCGATGTTGATTTGTGTTTGCATTCCGGCACTGTACGGTACTGTACAGTAAAACACCCGCTTTCAGGCTCGGAGGGGGGAAAACTTCCGCGCTAGTCTTTGCCGCTGCTGGTTCTGCTGTGCGCCTTAGCCTGTTTCGACACTCGACTGTTTTGTGTGCTGTGCAGGCCTGTCGAAGTTCCTGGGGCTCGTACTTGCGCTCCCCAGCTCCTCCCAATCTGACCCTTGGTTGGGGGTAGGTGAGCGTTTTGGCGCCCTTAAGGGTCACGGGCGCACCCCAAAGTCAGAACTTGAAATCAGGGCATGTTTGAAGTTTGCACTTACACTTCATTTTACTATGATAAGTGCTGTTATGTACTTAAATTAGAAGTCAAAGACACCTAACACTACACATGTCTTAAATAGTCATAAAACCTACCTAGCCTGCAAAGTTCTTATTCTCTACACTAACTACAGATATGGCATGCAGAGCTCAGCTACTCTACTCTAACCCGACATCCAATGCGAGCCTAGTTGGCAGGCTTCCTCCCCTTCCTCCCCTTATCCTCAAACAAGGCATAGGCCGCTGCCCAGTCCACCGGGTAGTCTAGCATCTTCACCGTCATCAGCTCCCCCAGCCTAACATCAGTAAGAGCAACACGATCCCACGACTTAATAATGTTTTGGCGGGAGAAGCCCCTCTCACACTCAACAGTGCTGAGGGGCAACACAGAGACCGCACGCCAGAGAGAGACTATGGTGGGATAGTCATCCTTCCAGTCTGCAGTGCGCAGCATGTTGGTGAGAGCCTGATGGAAGCTCTGCTTCTTGAACTTATTCTCCATGGTGGCTGTGAAGAGGCGCATCTGCGGCTCTATGTCAGCAAGAGCGACTCCTGCCAAGGACATATACAAAGTTAGATTACGTCATTGTGTGAGCATAATACGTACAAAGTTAGAACATACGTGGGTTCCTTTCATACTAATCTAGGCTTACCAGGTAGCTGGTTCTTGAACATGTCCAGGAGCTCGGTGAGATGGTGCTGCAGCCATGTGTCCTGCTCTCCTGCACGGAAGGGATACTTATCAGGCGTGAAAAACCCAACACCATCGAAATGGCGCAGGTCCGCCATCCTCTTCCCCAGCGCCTTAATCAGGCGCTGAGCGAAACGCCGCGCCAGGTCCACGCAGGCCTCCAAGTCGCATCCCCCCCCCGGGTTTTCAGGGTCGATGATGTCCTCGTGGAGCTCGATCTCGGCTTTTGCAGGTTTGCCGTCGCCACCCACTCCCTTGAGCTCCATCTTGCGCTTGTCCTTGCTGCCGTGTGCAGCAAGGAACTTGTTCAGGCGAGAGGTGTTCGGCCCGTAGGATGCGCTGGGCTCGACGTAGTACTGCGACAGCTTGGTCTTCACCTTGTCGACGTGATTCTTCACCTCTGTGATGTCGACCTGAAATCAAACGGAGCGGGAAAACATTAGAACCAAGCACTTAAGAGAAGAAGCGCCTAGTACATGTTCATGTCAATCTTACCGTCTGCTTCTGGAAGGCAAGATTGAGTCCGTTGAGCAGCTGCAGCACGTCAGCCAGGAGGTAAAGCATGTAGTGGAACTTGAAGCTGGTAGCGAGTTTCTCCATCCCGTCCTTCTCCTTCGTCCACATCCACATCAGCACTGGCAGCACGTCGCAGAAGCGATTCACAGCATCTCCGCGAGACAGCCAACGGACGGTGCAGAAGCCTTGCACCTCCAGGTGCGTCTTCAGAATGACGTCCTGGAGATGCATGTAGGTCTTTTGATCGGTCGATGAACGCCCGAGACGCTCGGCAGTCTGGCGTATCATCTGATCGACGACGTTGAACTCCTTGAAGCTCTTCGCGGCATCCTTTGCAGCCAATGCCTCGCTGCACAAGCACGACAGGTTCGTGAGTACGTATGGCGACGGTAATAAGATAACAGGACATTGCAGTGCAACCTTACCGATGCGCCACGCAGTGAATCGCCACCAGCCACGGGCAAAGTTTCCGAAGCAGGGCGACAACTCCGTTCTTCGAGCCAGTCATGACGGATGCACCATCCGTTGAAACCCCGACAAGCTTGTCCATCGACATGTCCTTCGACCACAGGCACTTCACGATCGTGTCGTACAGTGCAGCGGCGTCGCAACGCTCGAGCGACAGGAGAGCAAGAAACTGGGACACCACGGCCTCGCCTCTCTCAAACGTGACATACACGATGAGGTGCTTTCCGCGGGCGCGATCCGTGGATTCATCGAAGGAGAGGCTGTACCAGGCCGACTCTTTGACGTCCACGAGCTGCCTGGCCACCAGATGCTCCGCCATAGCCTCTACGAACTCGCCGAAGGCGTATCTGCAATGAGCACCAAATGTACGTTACTCACAGTATAACACAAGCACAAGTACGAAAATACAGAGGCAACGAAGAGAAGAAACAGCAGGACATTAGGTGCAGAACCAGAGGGTAACAAACACTTACCGCGAGTAATAACGCCCGTAGGATTCGCTGTTCATCATGTCGGGGCATCCTTGCTCCGCCATGAACCGCACCAGCATGGGGTAGAGAGCGATCGGTGCATCGTTCTGCGCAATCCACTGAGCTGCTTGCATGCATTTGACGACCCTCGCCATGACTGGATCGCCGCTGAGCATGTTCACGAGGCTGCGCTGCCTCACCTCCGTGCCAGCAGCGAGTCGTTCTGCTTCCATGGCCGCGAGGTGCACCTTGGACTGGTCATGGTTGCGGCACGCCGACTTCTGAAAGTCCCTTGCACCGACGCCAGCACCGCCAAAGGGAGACTTGGTGTTAGGAGCGAACTTACAGCACACGGAACACTTCATACCATACAGGCGCTCCTCTTTGTTGTACTTCAGTGTCAGCCACGAGTACGTCTGCTTCCACGACGGGCTGAAGCGACGTGCCATACCCTTCTCAGCAGCAGGGATCTCGGTGTCCGGGGGCACTTCTGCATCCTCGGCGATAGCCTTGTCCTGCGCCTCCAGCTCCTCAGCAGTGGGTGGAGGCGGTACGCTTCGTGCGCGCTTTCGCGAATCTGGTGGCGGACTTGCGAAGCTAAGGTGAACCTGACGGTAGCGGGCTGCTGACAGAGGTGTAGTCTGTGACGATGATGCTTGCTGGGCGAGGCGCGGGTCCAACACTGAGATTGCTACGTCTAGCATGTCTTCAGCATCCGAGGGTACGTAAGGCTCGGTCTCGGTCGTAGTATGAGAATGACTAACGTTCGACATGGGCAAAACTGGAGGAGGGGTTTCACCCTCGCTAGGATCCATTGTGGGAGAATGTGGCTGACGAAGCGAACGGGTTAGCTACCCATACTATAAACATCGCGTGCGTGAGCTAGGCGACGCGAGGTTTACTCGGCAGAGTGGTTGGGTGGAGGAGAAGTGCCATAGCATGGCACGTACGAGAGGGGAGGGGAGAGTTGAGGGCTTGGGTGGATGATACCGTGGAGGTGGTGGGACGGTGCGGAAGAGAAAACATGGGTGGGATGTGGTGGTGGATGGAATGCATGGTGGTGGAGAGGAATCGTGGCTCGCACGAACGAAGGTGGCGAGGGAGGGAGCTGCTGCGCTGGAGTGCTTCAGTTCCTTTGACGTGCTGTGGTTTAGTGTCTTAGATGTCTCTGTGGCCAAACAACTTAGCCAGATTTACCCAAGATAATCCCATGTGTCACAGCTGTACACTGCGGCCAGCTCGTATTGGACGCTAAGGGAATGTGCGGGTGCTCCTAGGCTGACCGAGAGACACGCTACACACACGGGATTGGCTACAAAACGCTAAGGGAAAAATCCCCTTGGCGCGCTCTAGTGCAGGCTAAGGAGAAAGAGGGGGGGGAGGGGGGTGGGGGGGTCCTACGATCTGAAACCAAAACTTAGATAAAGGGGAAGGCCTGGTTTCGTCCCTTAACACATCCGGGCAAGGGTCGAATGAAGCACTTAGTGGCACGGGTGGGGTGCGAAACAAAAACTTGACGCATTGGAGCTGGAGCGAAACTAGCCCTTAATGTTCAGGGCATTAAGGGCATATGCCCGTCAATCGACAGGCCTGGTGCTGTGCTGTCACACCTTGAAGTTCTCGAGGTTCTCTTTGCCCCGATGGGGAGTTTGTGTTCTCGCCCCGCACAGCCATTCCCCCTGGTCCCTGGTGACCATGGTATCATGGCCGTCCCCTTCTGAGCTCAGCTCTCCACGACCACCCAGCCTCGCGTCGCGGTTTCGTTTCCGCACTTGTGACGACCATTGGCGAGGAATCGAGGGCTCGCTCCCTCGCGTGTTGAGCTTTGCATGGTCAGGGGAGTTGTGTCACTGTACACGCCGGGAAACCCTTTCATGGCATCCGCCCTCCACCGCCTCGTGCAGTTTGCCCCACATCAGCAGACTTTGGACGGTAGTGCATTGCTGCTGGATGCGAAAAAAGACAAACGTCTCATCCTGCGCGCCTCGGTGCCTTCATGATCTGGATCCTGCCTGCTGGTGAAAAGGGTTGAGGGAGGGAGGGGAGCTGCGGAGGTTTTCAAAGTTCGATCGGGGGAAGCGGTAATGGAAAGGGGGAAACAAAAAGCGTCGGGATGGTCGTCTTGTGCGGGGAAAGCCAAGCACAGAGTCGCCGCAAAGCCATTTTGAGTGCAACTTGTCTGAATGCGCATCGTCCACTGTCGTTGTCAACACCACCATGTCAAACGCTGCCTGGATTCCCCATCTAGCTGTTCTGCCACGCGATGACTTTAGGGCCGTTCGATCGTCACTTGGTTCGGATGTTCTGGATGGAATGGGTTCAAGATTTGAAGTGTGGGGCAACTCCAACGGAACAGCAAGTGATATGTGACTTGTTGCGTCATGGAATTGGTCTGTGACATGCCATCCGAAGGGATAAAAATCAGCACAATGTGAAACCTTGTGACTGGTGTCCCAATGTAACAGTTTCAGCATGACAATCCCTTCTGTTCTAGGAACACAGTAGCCCGCCAGCCAATTTACACAGCAGAGCTCTCTGCTGGTTGAGCGAAGTTTTTTCAGGCACGGACGGATCACTGTAGTGGAATGAATGGGCGGGTGAGTGAAGTTTTGCTTCTGACGCGCTCCGTGTTCAACATGCACAGCATGCGTGCTCCAGCAGAGGATACTGTAGCCTGGGGAGGTCCAGTCACAGTCGAGAAGCTCAGCCTTCATCAGCCAGCTTTACGGGAAGCAAAGCGAAAATCTCCCGTGAGTGCCAGGTGCCAGTAAACCCCAATGTATCGTTGCCACGTGTGGTAATTCATTTTCGGTTTGACAAGGACTACAGATTTTTAACTCGTTACAAGATCAATCTCAATGGTCGTTGAAGCCATTATTGAAAATAAGGGATCGGGATACTGCAAAGAATCTTATAAATACACACCTATATTTCATTTCCACATTCTTTTCTGTGACCCACCCCACCCTCGCACATGCGGTCCTGTTAGTGGGTTTTCCAGCCCATTCGTGTCTTGTTTGTTGCACGCTGTTCGGCTGGGTGAGTGAAACTTTTGGGAAATTATTCATGATCTTCAGACTTTCAGGGAGGTTGTAAATGGTAATAACTGTGTTTCAGTAAGATATATTACGGTGCTGAGCGTTGACCCTCCAACAGATTGTGGAACGCCCAGACATTCCACGCCTAACACGCCAAGTACGCAACCAAACCCGTGTTACATCGTATTCATCGGATTGTTGGATGCTCAACCTGCGACCTTTCTCCAGGAGGTGACAAGTTCAAGTAGTACCTTACCTCCTAATTGCTGAATGAACCTATCCCAATCTTGTGTGTTTATTTATTCTGAAATCGGTCATCGAGTGCAATCGATTTCAACCCTAAACACTGTCGTTAGAGTCACATGTTCGCTCATGTGACCCGAAATTCCGGCCTCCGTGGAAATGTCAGCAGATGGCGCTCCAATGCGCCGGCGAAGACGGTGCCGTTGGGAAGCCGCGGCTCGACGACGCGATCCGAGCATAAGCGGGACTGCAGCCGGCATCTGGTTCTTATCTTAGCCGTAACCAACCTCGCATTGCTGTTCCTCCACCCACTATTAACATTTAGGTCACCAATTTCCGGTATTAGCGACGACGACGATCAGGATCCATTCTCGAGAGCCGCTGCTGACGTGAAATGGCGGCGGAAAAGAGGGGGACTTTGGAGCGCGGCCAAGCAAAGATGGCGCGGTGCGGACGGCATTCAGGCAGAGGTACGACCGGGATGAGGTACGACCTGGATGAGGTACGACCTGGACGAGACTGCGATGAGGTACGGCTTGGCTGAGGAATGGTGCCGGGTTGATGCTTCACACCGCGCACCCAACCAACCCCCACCCTCTCCCTTCCTTCCCGTTCCCCCCGCTTCCCCATTCCCCCGCCTCCCGGTGTGCTGGGTTATCTTGAGACCTTTAAACCTCTTCAATTCCCCCATTTCCCTCCCATCCCCTACCACATGGGCATGTCTCTGTTGTCCGGCCAGGGTGATTCCTCACTATTCACGTCCTTATTATTCTCGTCCTTCTCATGTCTTATGCTCTTTAGAATCGTCCTTTGCCCTCCCTATTCCGCCTTCTGTCTCGTGCCCGAATCCATTCTCTCCTCTTCCCACTCTCCCTTTCCCCTCTCCCCTCTCCCCATTTCGCCTATTCCTAATTCTCATATATTTACTTCCTCATCACAAATCTACCAACGCCACTCCCTCCCTTGACATTCCTGCCCACTGCCTGGCCATATCATTTTTCGCAACCCTAACCAGACCATCGGAAAGCTCTTAAACGAGGGCGCGGAGCGGTTCTCCCTGCCAATCAAACGGCGCCACGTCAGCACGGGGCACGGGCTGCAGGGATTCGTGCTGTACAGCAGCTACCGGCTGAACATGTCGTCCTTTGTGGTGCTCGGGCTCTCCCCCATGGCGCTGCACTCGCTGCCACGTGTCAACTCGTGCAGGTGACGTGGCGTGATGGGGAGATGACGTGGCAGCGGCATCGCTGACGGTGCTTGTTTGGGGAAGCAAGGGTTATAAGGAAAGGGGGAGTGAGACGCAAGGGGGGGGGGATACCACTATTTGTTTTCCCCCGAAGCCTTCCTTATCCGCTTTCTCCGGTGATCTTTTTCCCTTATCCCCCATCCACCTCTCCGCCTCGCCTCTCCACTCCACCTCTCTCCACCCCACCTCTCTCCTCTCCACTCCACCTCTCTCTACTTCACCACTCTCTACTCCACCACTCTCCACTCCACCTCTCTCTACTCCACCTCCCTCTGCTCACCTCTCTCCACCCCACCCCACCTCTCTATTCGCTCTCTACTCACCTCTCCTTATTCGCTCCTCTCCCTGCACCCGTTCCCCGCGTTTAGGCAGATGGGAGCCGACGACTTCAGCATCCCATGCTGATGAGACACGTGGCAGTGATGATACACGTGGCACAGCCACGTCAGCACGTGCAGGATTCTCGCGGCACTTGTTAGAAGTCAAGGGAGATGGCAAAGAGGGGCCACAGGGAAAAAGGGATGAGGGAGGTAAAGGGGCGGGGCGAGGCAAAGGGGATGGGGGGAATAAAGCAGTGATACAGGGAAAGGGGGCAGGAAGGGGTAAGGGGGATGGACGGGGCAACGGGGCAGGGGATGGGGGAAGGGTAAGGCAGGGGGGGAAGGGCGGGGTAAAGTGGGCGCATGTGGTTCAAGGGGGGAGGAGTGGGGATGTGAGGGTGGAGGGCAGAAGAGAGAGTGGGAAGAGGGGCGAGGCAGGGAAGGCGGAAGGGAAGAATGAGGTGAAAAGGGGTGCAGTGGGGTTGAACGAGCAGCAGCAGTCACTGAGGCAGACAGGCAAAGAGGTAAGGGGGGAAGGTGGACGGAGAAGGGAAGGAGGGAAGGGAGGAGAGAAGGTAGGGGAAAAGGGAGGAGTACAGGGAGGAGGCAAAGGAGGAGCGAAGGAAGGAGAGAATGAAGGAGGGAAGGGAGGAGAAGTGGGCGGAGAGAAGGGGAAAGAGAAGGGAAGAGACAAAGGAGGAGGTAGGGGAGGAGGGGAGAGGAAGGAGGAGCAAAAGGCAGGTGGTATTTCTGCCAAGGGCGGTATGGGTGCAAAGGAAACAGTGGGCACAGGCGGTGGGGGGGCGGTAGGTCAGGCAGAGGGAGGGAGTAGGAACGTGCAAAGGGATAACAGCAAAGAGCCTCAGGGTCTTCAGAAAGCAGCAGTAGCTGCAGCAGGAGCAGCCAAAGCAGCAACGTCTTCAGCAGCAGCAGTGACATCAAGTAAGACAACAGCCAAAGCAACTGCTGCAGCGGCGGCAGAAACAGGAGCAGAAAAAACAGCGGGGAAAGGAGGAGGAGGAGCAGCAGCTACAACAGCAAACTGGACTGCAGCAGGGGCACAAGGGAAAGCAGCAGGCGCAGCAGGGGCGGGAGCAGCAGCAGCAGCAGCAGTAACAACAGCAGGAGCAACAGGGAAAGGAGCAGGAGCAGCGGAAGGCAGCAAAGGAAGTGGAGGAGGAGGAGGAGGAGGAGGAGGAGGAGGAGGAGGAGGAGGAGGAGGAGGAGGAGGAGGAGGAGGAGGAGGAGGAGGAGGAGGAGGAGGAGGAGGAGGGGGAGAAGGAGGAGGAGGGTCAAAGACCAAGCACCCGCCAGGGTCAATCCAGGGCACAGTGACAGCACACTACCCGGGGGAGGGCTTTAAGATGCGGTACGAGGCGGTGATCCTGCAGTGCTCCCTGCAGGCGCCCACGGGGCCGATATCGGGGGGGCGGCTGGTGATGGCGGTGGATGGGCGCGAGGCAGTGGTGGTGGAGGAGCAGCAAGGGCACGACCTGCCACATGCCATGCGCACACATGACTTCCCGTGAGTCTGAATGTTATGCTTCTAATCTAACGGGTAGGCTCATTGTACACGTGAGTTGCGGTGAGTTACAGGCAGTGGTGGTGGAGGAGGAGCAAGGGCACGACCTGCCACACGCCATGCGCACACACGATTTCCCGTGAGTCCACTCATCACTTTCATTCAATCACGGGGTTGATTTCGGGGTTGTGAGGTGCCTCAAAACCCTGCAGGCGCTCATGGGGCCGATAGTGGGTTTTGAGGCGCCTCACAACCACCTTAGCGCCCACGGGGCCGATATCGGGGGGGCGGCTGGTGATGGCGGTGGATGGGCACGAGGCAGTGGTGGTGGAGGAGGAGCAAGGGCACAACCTGCCACACGCCATGCGCACACACGATTTCCCGTGAGTCCACTCATCGCTTTCACTTAATCACAGGGTTGATTTCGGGTTTTGAGGCTCTCAAAATTCGGCAGGCGGCCATGGGGCCGATGTTGGGGGGGTGGCTGCTAATGGCGATGGATGGGCACGAGGCAGTGGTGGTGGTGGAGGAGCAAGGGCACGATCTGCCTCACGCTATGCGCACTCACTCATGACTTCCCGTGAGTCGAGAGGGGGCTGTTATCCGATGTACATGCTCCATTGTGTGAATGTCTGTGGTGATGGAGGAGCAGCCAGGGCATGACCTGCCAAATGCCATCCGCACCCTTGACTTCCCATGACACGCATCCCTCCCCTCCCCGCCACCCTTCTCCTCCCTACTTCCCCAGCCTCCCTTCACCAGTCTCGCACACCCTTGTACAGCAGCTCTCACACACTGCTCCTCTCTGCTGTACAAGCCGATGAATCTTTTGGCGCCTCGAAAAGCATCCCTTCACCAGTCATGCTCTCACACTTTGCTCCTCACTGCTGTACAAGCCGACTCATCCACCCACCCTACCGCTCCCCCCTCTCCTTCCCCCCCACTCTCCCTTCTCCAGTCACGCTCTTACGCACTGCTCCTCGCCACTATACAAGCCGACGCACGCCGGCCGGCTGCGCGAGTGGATGGATTTCCACCGCACTGTTCACCGCGTCGACCTCTTCCTGCTGTACGATGCGGGCGGCATGGACGGCGCGGTTCGGCACGCACTGCAACCCCTGCTGGCGGGCGGCACAGTGCAGATCGCGGATCTCAGAGACGCCGCCCGGTTTGAGAGCTACCACCACGCACAGGTGAGTGTGTATGTGTGTGTATGAGAGCTACCTGGTTTGTCTGTATGTGTGTGCGTGTGCGTGAATGCAGGTGGGCGGGCGTGCTGGTGTGTGTTTTCGTATGTGCCTGCATGATAACGAGTCTGCACTGCACAGCAAGTGACTGTAGAATGAGCTATTCCGTCACTTCCTCTCTGAGGTCTATAAACAACTGTCCACTCCCTGCCTTCCCTCCTTTTCATTCCCACCCCTCCGTTCCCTCCCCTCCCCACCTGCTCCTTCCCCTCCTCCTTCACCTCTCCCCCCCAGCTCCTAGCAATGAATGACTGCATATTCCATACGCGGCACCTCTCCCGCTGGACGCTCTTCTTTGATTCTGATCACTACATCACCCCCCCCCCTCCCTTCCCTCACTTACACTCACTTTCCCTACTACTCCTTTCTTTCCCCTCCTCACCTCCCCCCCAGCTCCTAGCAATGAGCGATTGCATATTCCGCACGCCCTCATCTCCAAACGCTACTCTCCTTACCCTTCCCTTCCCTTGAACCCCCATTCCTCCAGCTCCTAGCGATGAACGACTGCATATTCCGCACGCGCCACCTCTCCCGCTGGACTCTCTTCCTCGACTTCGATCACTACATCACCCTCCCCAACACCCTCATTGCCAAACGCTACCAACCCCCCACCACCACCACTACCACCTCGGCCACCACTACCACTACCAATCCTGCCACCACCACTGCCACCGCCGGCGCCACTACCTTTCCCAGAACGCTACTGGCTGACCCGAGTAAGACAAGGGCGCTCTCTCTGCTGGCGTTTCTAGATGGGAAGGGCCAGACTCGTGATGCGAGAGCGCAGGGACAGGGGGTGGGGGAGGCCGAGGAGGGGTGGACGTGGGTGAGCTTTGGCTGCTTCGTCTTCTCTGTCGACCGCTGCGCTCCTCTACCTGACATCAGGTGATGCTTGGTCCCTTTCTCTCTCTCTCTCTCTCGACTCCGTGTATTAGTTCCAAGCACATGCAGTTCAGCCTCTCTCTCTCTCGACTCTTGACGGGAGGGGGCAGGGGCAGGGGCAAGGGCATGGGGGGAGGGGGGGTTATGGGCGAGGAGGGGTGGACTTGGTTGAGCTTTGGGTGCTTCGTCTTCTCTGTCGACCGCTGCGCTCCTCTTCCTGACATCAGGTGATGCTTGCTCCCTTTCTCTCTTTTGGACTCTTGAGGGGAGGGGACAGAGGCAGGGGGCAGGGGCAGGGGCAGGGGAAGGGGAAGGGGGAGGAGGGGGAGCAGGGGGGGGGCGAGGAGGGGTGGACGTGGGTGAGCTTCGGGTGCTTCGTCTTCTCTGTCGATCGCTGCGCGCCTTTGCCCGACATCAGGTGAGACGCTTCACGGGAGGGGGCAAGGGCAGGGGCTGGGCGAGGGACAGGGGCAGGGGCAGGGGGGGGCGAGGAGGGGTGGATGTGGGTGAGCTTTGGGTGCTTCGTCTTCTCTGTCGACCGCTGCGCTCCTCTTCCTGACATCAGGTGATGCTTGCGCCCTTTCTGTTGCCCGCTTTTTTTGGGGGGAGAGGAGTGGGGGCATTTGGTTATAAAGTAGGCGAGCTTCTAGGAGCACCAAATATATGATTTTCACCCCGTGTGCATAAAATCCCATGCAGTGAGGGGGACGAGTGGGCAGTGGAGCGGATGGTGTATCGGGACCCGGAGCCCTTCTGCAAGGAGAACAGCAGCTACAGCGACAAGACCGTATGCCAAAAGGCAGATGGCCTTCGCCAACTCGCCATCAACCCGCGCAAAACCCTCGTGGTTCAGAGCAACCGGTGAGTAAAACAAGCCATGGGTTGCTAAACTCCCCAAGGTTGTTCAATGCTTCATCAGACCCCCGTACCAAAAGCGCATGCAAGTCAAGTCAGTGCAATGGAACGCAGTTCAGCCTCATATCGGTTTTTTCTATAACGTTTATGAGGTGCTTTGGTGCAGGATTTTGAATGCGGAGCCGGGAGGGTACATAGCGCCCACGGGGAGTGTGCGCATAAACTACTTCAAGGGGCTTTCTGAACGCGACCGCAGCACTTGCGAGTTGTCTGTGTTGAATGCTGATGGTACCATTGATGCCAACTTGACTCAAGATTACTCCGTTTCGAATTTAGCCGTTGCCGCTCGATATAAATTAGCTGCTAACGGCAATGGGCTAACATAATAATATTTCTACTGGCTTTTACGAAATATGGTGCAGAAGAAGCATACGTGAGGTGTTTTTAAGCTGGGTTTCTTGTTCACCTTATCGAGTGTTCCTACCCACTGAAATTCGCCCCTCACAATTTCTGAAACCACCTGTCTTTTTGCATGGCTTGGCCTTGAGATTCCCGCTGGCAAGCAGGCAACCAGGCGAGGCGACACGCGCGACGCCTCTGTCGTCCGGGTGTATGGGCACCAGCGCGTTGAATTTCATGCGCGCCACGTGTCGCACGCTCTCTCAGGACGTGGCGCGTTGTCGTTCGCCTACTCCGCGCCTCCGCTCCTCACCAGGGTTCGCGCGAAGTACGGAAACTGGATCGACGGAAAAACGCATCCTTGCGGAAAGTATGAGCGGAACGCATCTGCGCTGCAAAGCATGGAGGCGGTGAGAAAAGCACAAGCGGAACGCATCCGCGCGGAAAGCACGGAAGCTGAAGCTGATGTTTGCGGAAGAGATGGGACGCGGAGGCAGGCGAAGGAACCCGCATGCTGTCCGCTGGATCATTGTAATCCTCAACGGGGTAATTACGGGCGCGAAGGATGCGCAGGCGTCCAATGCAGTGATGACATGGCGTTTCAGGGTGGGATGCGGTGGTATGGAACGGGATGGGATGGAATGGGGTGGAATGGAGTGGGATGCGTTGACGCGAGATAATCAGGCCGCGCTTGGTGCTTTTCCAACACGAATACGATCAGATCCGGCCGTCCTATTCTGCACCCTCTGCAGCGCCCCACGATGTCACAGCTACGTTTACCACCGTTTTGAGACGTCTGAGGTCCACCGTGCAGCACTTCCCGTTTCCCTCGTTCCTCCTTTAGAAACCCGAAAGCGCGACTTCCATCCTCTTTATCCGGCTGTTTACGCGCTACTGTGCTGTGGTGAGTACGTCTGATACAGCCATGGCCGCTACTGTTGCCACCACGACTGTCCAACTCTCCTCAGCCATAAACGGCAGATGCCTAGCTTTGGCGCTTACTCCCCAAGTTCGATCATATGAAGGGGTGAGGGGGAGAAACTGGGTGAAAATTTCACGGCGGGTTGAAAGCAGTAAGGGCAGACGCCGAATCATCAGCAGCAGCAGTGGCGGCGGCGGAGGCAGCAGCAGCAGCAACAGTGGCAGGGGCGATGGGTTCTCCTGGACTACAAGACGCGTGGAGAGGAGGAGACTGGGTGAGCGAGGGGGGAGAGGGGGAGGAGGAAAGCAGTTGGGGCTGCCGGATAGGGAAAAACTCGGTGATAAAAGAGAATCTGACAAGGAGTTTCGGCGAGATAGTGACAATATCAAGCTGGGCGGTGAGAATTTGAAGCAGAAACCTGTCCATGTGAAGATGGATCATGACCATATGCAGCGGATAAGGGATGAAGGGGGGATTGGACGGGTGGTTACCACCCAGGTGGCAGCCCTCCCTGCTCGCCTGCACCAGATGCTACCTCCCCTTTCCTCCCCGCACTCGCGACACCTAGCCCCTTTCCTCGCCGCCTCCCTGCTGCTTCTCTTCCTCCTCTTGCTACGCCACACCGTCGCTTGCACGGTCCTTGCAGCTTCCTCTGGTGTGCGTTTCTTTGCCGCGCTGCCCCGTGCTGTGGGTGGACTAATGAGGCTGAGGCCCCAAACGCCTGAAAAGACTTTGCCGCATGTAGCGGCGGAAGAAGACAGCTTGGAGCTGCGGCAGAGGGCTCAGCTAGTCATTGGACAGGAGCAGCAGCAGCAGCAGGATGAGGAGGGGCAGAAGAAGGAGGGGGAGGCTTCACCAGCTGCAGCAGCAGAAGCAGCAACAGCACCGCCACCAGCAGCAGCAGCAGCAGAAAAGAAAAAGGGCAAAGCAGCAGCAGCAATAGTAGCAATAGTAGCACGGGAGGAGCTTGTGTCAAGTCTTGAAGAGATTTCGTACTTGCGGGATAGGGTTCGGCTTATGATTGAGGAGGAGGGGGAGGGGGATGATGAGGAGGAGGAGAGGGGGGAGGGGGGGGGAGGAGTGGGGTGAGGAGGAGGAGGAGTGGGGTGAGGAGGAGGAGTGGGGTGAGGAGGAGGAGTGGGGGGAGGAGGAAGAGGAGGAGGAGGAGGAGGAGGAGGAGGAGGAGGAGGAGGAGGAGGAGGAGGAGGAGGAGGAGGAGGAGGAGGTGGAGGTGGAGTGGGGGGAGGAAGAGGAAGAGGAGGCGGAGGAGTGGGGGGAGGAAGAGGAAGAGGAGGAGTGGGGGGGGGAAGAGGAAGAGGAGGAGAAGGAGTGGGGGGGGGAAGAGGAAGAGGAGGAGGAGGAGTGGGGGGGGGAAGAGGAAGAGGAGGAGGAGTGGGGGGAGGAAGAGGAAGAGGAGGAGTGGGGGGAGGAGGAGGAAGAGGAGGGGTTGAGCACTGAGGGGATAACGGAGCAAGAGCAAGAGCAAGAGCAAGAGCAAGAGCAAGAGCAAGAGCAAGAGCAAGAGCAAGAGCAGGTTCAGCAGTCTTTGAAGCAACTGATTAGTGAGGGTGAGACAGATGACGCTACCATTGTTGCTCCTGTTCGTAATGCTGCTGCTGGTGATGGTGGTTCCAGTGGTGGCAGCAGTGGTGGTGGTGGTGATGTAGATGTAGTGTTTGAGTCACTGAATGCGGCAGATGACATTTTTTCAATGATGCTGGCACTTGATGTGCGCTGGGTGGATGCAACAGAAGGTTCAGGTGAAAATTCAGGTGATCTTGGTGGTTGTTTACTTTTTGAAGCAGCAGGGGAACTAGCAGCAACAGGGGAAGCAGTGGAGGAAGAAGCAGAAGAGGCAACAGAGGGAGCAACAGACGGAGAAACAGAGAGAGCAGCAGAGGGAGCAGTAGACGAAGCAGCAGATGCAACAGCAGAGAAAGCAGCAGAGGGAGCAACAGAAAAAGAAGCAGAGGGAGCAACGGAGGCAACAACATTGGGAGCAGCAGAGGCAACAGCAGAGGCAACAGCAGAGGCAACAGCAGAGGAGGCAGCAGAGGAAGCAGCAGGAGAAGCAGCAGGGGTAGCAGCAGCAGAGAAAGCAGCAGAGGGAGCAGCAGAGGCAGCACGAGAGGCATCAGAGGAAACGGCAGGAGACGCAACAGGAAAAGCAGCAGCAGGGGAAGCAGCAGCAGGGGAAGCAGCAGAGGGGCTAGTAGAGGAAGCAGCAGAAGAAGAAGCACAGGGAACAGCAGAGGGGGAAGCAGAGGAGGAAGTGGACGAAGAATCCGAGGGAGAAGCAGGGGAAGCAGCAGAGAAAGCAGCTGAGGAAGAAGCAGAGGAAGCAGCAGGAGAAGCTGCAGGAAAAGCGGGCAAAGCAGAGGCTGTGACGGGCGTAGAGGAAGCAAGGACGGAACACGAGGAGAGGGGGATAGATGGTGACCGGGAGAACCAATCAGGCAAGAGCATTGATTTCACAGCTCAGGACAACAGTGGTTTTGCTGTTTCAGAAGAATCTGGAACACTGAAATCAGCACCAGTAATTGGGGAAAACAAATCCGAAGGGAGCGTCTACAGGAAGAGAAGGGGTGAAGTTGAGAAGGAGAGGATAAAATCGGAGCTTGTTCCTGATTGGTGGCAGAAGGCCTGGGATGAGGTGGCCTTGCAGCGGGCACAGGGATTGGATGGAGGTTCGGGCCGAGCCAGACCGACAGGTTTGGGAGGCGCTCCTGAGAAAGGCACACGACTGGCTGTGATGGGTATGTGGGGATGGGTGGGGAGGGGTGGGGAGGGGTGGAGGGCGGTGAGGGTTTGATACCATGGGGAGGGGTTGTACGGCTGTGTTAGGTTGCACATGATAACATCATGTGCAATGGAAGGTTCTACAAGTGTGTGGAAGGGGTTGGGTTGGGGGGGTTGGGGAAAGCAGATGTTGGTTGGGTGAAATAATGGTACGAGTCAGATGTGCATAGGGATCATGAGGCTGCCAAATCCATCCCGTGTTGTAATCGCATCGTGTAACTTCAGGTGCATTCTTTTTTGTTTCCGTACACTGTCAGTCAGGTGCATTCCCATCAAAAATCATTGTCATAGACACTGGTTTTGTCATTTTCACATTGTCATTATGATTGGCATTGTCAGGGGCATTGGAGCATTTTAACTCGCACGGCCACATCCCACCAGTGGCTCTCAAGCAGGTGCACACACCACAATTCAGCCTATCACACCACATCACACCGCAATACACCTTCTCACACCACACCAAACCGCATCGCACCAAGACCGCATCATATACATATTTTTACTCTGCCTATTTCCAGGTTTCAGCTGTTTCTCTCAAGAGCTCCAAACCGTGCTCAACCTGACAGTCCTTTTCTTTGCTGTGCTGTCTGCAACCTTCGTGAGCCGTCAGATCTGGGCGGCGTGGCGAGCATCTGGTGACACGTGGCACACTCAGAGGGACTCTGTGCGGCTGATAGTGTTCAACGCCGCCGTCCAGCTGGCACTGGACCAGTGCATCGGGTAAGTGGGACGGGGTGAGAGAGATTAGTGGACGGGATGGGGTGAGCGGGCTGGGCGAGTGGCAGTAGAGAGGGACGGGTGAGCGGGATGGGTGAGCGGGCGGGACGGGGTGTCTACGGAGTGGTAGTTGGTTGTTGAGGTCCTCATAGGCTGACGTTGACATTCAGTCGCCTTATGTGCCCCGGTTCCCCCCAATTCCTGTCTCCGTCCCCTGCCTCACGTCACGTGCACGTCGCCCCGTCTCCCCACCCCGGTGGCAGCAGCAGGCAGTCCCTCACCATCCCTCACCACCCCTCACCACCCTGCGCTATCCCTCACCATCCCTCACCACCCCTCACCACTCTCTCCCTCTCATCCCTCCCTTTCCTTGCGTGCAGGTCACCTCGTCTCCCTGCCTCATCTGGCCCATTATTCCTCGCTGTCATGGCAGGAGCAGTGGGCCTATCACCATCCCTCACCCCTCTCTCCCTCTTCCCTCCCCTGCCCTCTCTTGCCCTCCTTTCCCCTCCCTTCCCTGGCTAAACAGTAGGTCGTCCTGCCTCCCGGCCTCCTCCGGCCCATCATTCCTCGCTGCCATGGCAGCAGCCGTGGGTCTCTCACCGTCCGTGGCCCTCGCAGCAACACTCAAGGGCGTGGCTGCCAGGCTGGAAGCAGAGCTCATCGCGTGCAATGTGAGAACTCCGTATGGGTGGTAACGACGAGGCGTGCGTGTGTTTTTGTGTGACAGTAACGGGGCGTAGGGGTGCTGCAATGGTATCAGTTTTCTCGCGTAATCATCTGGTTGTTTGTGTGAGTGAGTTCAAAGCGGAAAACTGTATAATCCTTCATGTGGCTCTGTGCAATCCGTGAGTCGCAATCCCATGGAATATGTTACTCCGATCTCATACTTTAAACAGAAGCGTGTGTTCGTATGTGTGTGGTGTCTGGTTGTATGGGAAGCAGGGTATGATGGAAGCGTTTATGTGGCGCCATGCTAACGTCAAGTTGCGCCAGATAGCGAAGCTGCTCTCTGTGTTCACTCCTTCTGCCATCTCGGTACGTGACTTATGTGCCTGGATGATCAACACACACGTGCACATGCTCTGGTGCTGCACTCCTGCACACATTCACACGCTTGCTTTCCCGCTCGTCTTCGCCCTCCCCCCCACTCACCCCATTCCTCTCTTTGTGCGTCCACACCACCCTTCTGCTACCTGCATCATAACAGTATAATTCCAGCACCATTTTAGATTTGCCACATTCTCCCTGCTTTTCCCCTTGCTCCTCTCTTCTCCCCGTGCTCCCCTCTTCTCCCCTTTCTCCCCTCTTCTCCCCTTTATCCCCTCTTCTCCCCTTGCTCCCCTTGCTCCCCTCTTTTCCCCTTGCTCGCTCCCCTCTTTTCCTGTTGCCCCCATCTGCCCCCATCTGCTCCCCTTGCCGACATCTTATCCGGTTGCCCCATCTTCTCCCCTTGCCCTCATCTTCATCCATCCCCACCAGCCTGAGCTAGTGTCTTCATCCCATCGTCTGGGTGTCATGCTGACTCGCCGGCAGCGGGAGGAGCTGGCATGGATGTACGAAAGGGCTGCTGGTTCCATGCATGTGGTGCTCATGAGGACTGCTCTTGAAGTATAATGTAGGGTCTGCCAAGTTAGCTATCGACCACCACTTGACGGATGTGTTTTCCTTTGTTGATTGAATTTAGCTGATTGCTACTTCACGAAAAGAATTATGTAGTGTGAAATTTCGAATGCACTGTTCTATCCTGTCGAATCAGGTGTGTGGCACAGATTTTCTTTAATAAGCCATGGCACAGCGGCAGTTTTCGTACCGAGTCAGTCTGTAGTGATGTTTCTTTCTTCACGCCTTCTCCACGCCCACCATCTTCGCATCATGCATCGCACCACCCCTCCCTCCATCATTCCGTTGCGCAATTCACACACACTCTCACTTCAGAAATAGAGGTATCATTTCAAACTCGTATGAACATTTGAGTTCGCCAGCTTGTCGAGTGGGTTGATGGCGCACGCGTCACTTTAAAGCCCGAGTCTAGAATGGTAAGGTTTCAAGAATACTGAACTTGAAAGGTGTTGGGAAAGCGACGGAATGGGCAAGCGATGGTCATGTGAAGGCCAGCGACATGATGGGAGAGCGTGGGAGACACTCAGAGTAAGCGTGGGCGACGGACGCGGAAGGGAGAGCCACCTAAAAGGCGACGGGAGGGGAGGCGAATTCAAGTTTAAGAATCTTGAACTTGAAAAGTTGCCATTCTAGACTCGGGCTTTAACAGATTTCACACTAGACTGCCTGGCGGATGCGGAGCGACACGTGGCACGTACCCGTGCTTCCGTACGATGGCTGATGGTTCGTTCATAGTGGCGAGTTGTAACAGTGTTCGGCACACCTGACACGGCAGACAGTTCTCTGTCGCGGGTGACATTACACTGAAGCTGACTCAACAAGGGGTATCGAGCGCGTCGGGCGGCATCACTACCCGACGTAGGATCCTGATGATGGCTCCTGTTCCCTCAGGTGTGGGACCCTGCGGAACGAGGTTTGGCAACTCTGAAGAGCAATGGCGAGACCTGAAGAGCGAAATGAACTTGCCTCTCTCCTGGGTGGCATAGCGAGGGTTTCAGTCCAAACCAGAACTCGGATCCACAACGCGGAAATGTTTTTTTTCATGCCCCGGGTAACGTCAAGTTCGCCCACATTCACGGTAACATCCGCCTGTTCTCGGCGACCCACTCGCTCAGCGGCTAAGCGCCTGCACCTGCCAGGAACCGGTGGGAAATTTTCACCCCGCAAGCTCAGTGGCGACTTCTACGAATGGCAATTTTTCCATGGCAATCCAGCCACCGCAGCTGGCGTTTCATCCGCTCTTGGTCCGCCACCCCTGCGGAACTCTGGCGAGGCAGGAGTTTCCTTTCATTTCCAGAATTACTCCCGGGAAATTCAAACTAGCCAGCTGCCCTGAAGTGTCATACAGGAGTCCCATACCAATTCACTCTCCGGCCCGTTGAATCGAAACATGAGAAGGCCTTGGCAGCTCACCACCACACCACATACGTTCCCTTTCCATAGGCGACTCCCATGGCTGTGCAGCTTCGAGGCGTGAAGCTTCAAACCTACCATGACCCGTCACCCAGCGTTAGTTCTTGTGGTAACCCTAATGGTAGTAATCCCAATTCCACTCGCATTACTATTAGTGGTAACTGGACCGCATCTTATTATCGTCTGAGCCCAGTAGTAGTAGTTTCGAGACGACTACAAAATCATCATGTTTATAGTCTGAGCCGAGCAGTACCCAGGAGCCGGGCAGGACCAGAAACGTTAGCCATTTTACCAAGGCGGAGGGGTGTTCTGGCTAATTGTAGGCCCTTGCAGGTGAATGTCACGAGGCGCTTTGAACCACCATGGCCTGGAGTGCAGGGTCGTGGTCTGCGAGTTACTGCTCTGCAGAACAATGCTGTGCGGTTGAATGCGTTGCAGAGTAGCTCTGATATCACTGATACCAGCAGGGAGGATTGCTCCTGGCAGGAGAAAGTTCTGAGGCGTTTTATTGCACTTACCACACCGTACAGTGGCAGCAGCAGCAGTATCAGCGTCAGCAGTAGCAGCAGCAGCAACATCAGCAGTAGCAAGGAGTTTGATTCCCGGACAGCTGTTGAGTCCATTCAGGAGCCTTCTGGTTACAATGTTACGGCACAGAACTGGATCCCCAGCAACAGGGACGACGAATTCTCAAGGTTGTGGGAAGCAAGACGAACGCGGAGGCGGAGAGGGGGAGGTAGAGCGGGGAGAGGAGATGGTATATGGGGGGAAGGGGATAACCAGAGGGTATGGTCTCAGAGGGATGGTGATTATATAGAGAGGATTGGTGACGATATGGAGAGGATTGCTGACGATGTGGAGAAAATCGGTGACGAGTGTGTAAAGGAGATTGGGGAGGGTGTACGGCAGCAGATACGCCATCGAAGGAGACTTTTTGAGAGGAGGAGAAGGGGTTCGTCAGCCTTGGGATTGTCGGACTTGTATAAATCTCCACTAGAGAAGGCCGTGGATTCGGTGTCTGACTGGGTTGCTGACGTGTCAGCGTCAGTGGCCGAGTCAGTTCCGCCCACAATGGAAAAGGCCAGGTGTGTCTTACACATATACTGAGTGTGCCACACACCCTGTCACCCACCCACTCCACATTTCCTGTCACAATTTTCCACTCACACCCAACCCCTGGCTGTCTTTCACTTGTGATGCCCATTTGCCCACCCACCCATCTTCCCAACACTCTAAACCCGTTCCCAACTACTGACAAGCTTGTTCGCACCACCCACTCGCCCGCTATCCCACCCATCATTCCACCCACCCTCCCACACCCGCCCCCTTCACACACCCCTCCCCCCACACCCACCCCTCCACTGACAGCCGTGTTCTCACCACCCAGGTGGCAGCTCTCGCTGCTCGCCTGCACCAGGTGCTACCTCCCCACTCCTCCCCTCTCCCCGTTTGCCCACCTATCTTTCCACCACCCATCATTCCCACCCACCCCTCCACTGGCAGGCGTGTTCTGACCACCCAGGTCGCAGCCCTCCCTGCTCGCCTGCACCAGATACTACCTCCCCGCTCCTCCCCTCTCCCCCTCCGCCTCGCCCTCCTCCTCTCCTCCTCCCTCCTCCTCCTCTGCCTGCTCATCCGCAGCTCCCTTGTCGCACGCAGCTTGCAGGCAGCTTCTGCTGCGGTGCGCTCATTCTTTGCCCCTGTGCTGTGGGCTGTGAGTCCCGAGGAGGTTTTGCAGCAGCAGGAGGAGGAGGCTGAACGGAATGCACCGCAGCAGCAGCAGGAGCAGGAGAAAGCTGTGCAGAAGGCAATGCAGCAGCAGCAGCAGCAGCAGCAGGCAGGCAGTAGCAGGATTGGTGAAACTGGTAGTTCTGCCTTTGTGATGAAAACTGCCTTTGGGTTCAGTGGTGGTTATGCTGGTTCTGATGGTGGAGTGGAAACAGCAGGGAAAGAGGAAGAAGACATTCACCGGACGATGCTGGCTCTTGAAATGAGCCAGGTGGATACAACAGAGCGCTCAGGTGAAAGATCAGGTGAACGTGCAGGGAGACCAGGGAAAGCACAGAAGGGCATGGGTGGAGCCAGAAGTCAATCTGGGAAGATATCTAATCCTCATCGCAGTCAATCTATCAGAGGCAGCAGATTTGATCGTACAGCTGTCGAGAATCAAGAGAACGGCAAGAAATCAAGATCGGATCTTATTCCTGATTGGTGGCGTGATGCCTGGGGCGAGTTGGCCTTGCAGCAGACGCAGCGGTTAGTTGCAGGCTCCGGCGCAGGCTCGGGTGCAGGCGCGGACAGTGGCCGAGCCGGGGTGGCTGGTTCGGGAGGCGCTTCAGTGAAGGACACACGGGTCGCAGTGATGGGTAAGCAGGCTGGGATGAGGTGGGATATGGTGAGATGCGGTGGGATACAGTGGGATGCGGTGGGATGAGGTTGCCTGGGTAGGAAGACACATGTGCATGAGATAAGTAGCTTGTATCTGAGAATCATCGTAATCAGGTTCTGAGATGTGTGTAGACTCTCATCTATCCCCGCACGTCGTCGTCTCACTGCTTGTGTTTTCCTCCAGTGGCGTGCGATTCTGAGCTCAGGTGCTTTGGAGCAGTTCAACTCACAGGGGCACATTCCTGCAGATGCTCTCATTCAGGTGTGCCGCACCTGACCACATTGCACCGCACAACACCTCAGTAGGCCTGTTTGAAACTATTCCCCAGGCCGATGAGATGCACATTCACATCCTCAGCATCACAAATGCTATCTCAGCACACTCCCATCCGTCTGAACATCCACCTTTCCCTATCCACGTCTGCGAGCCGTCAGATCTGGGCGGCATGGCGAGCATCTGGTGACACGTGGCACACTCAGAGAGACTCTGTGCGGCTGATAGTGTTCAACGCCGCCGTCCAGCTGGCACTGGATGAGTGCATCAGGTGATTGAGAGGGCTTTTGAGACGTCTCAAAAGGTGATTGAGAGGGCCAGGATCTGAGAGGGCCAGGATCCGAGGAATGGGGTGAGCCAGATGGGTGACTTTTTTAGCTGTCCAGCTGGCACTGGACGAGTGCATTGGGTAGGAGATGGGATGACGGGATGAGGTGATGAGATGGGGTGATGGGGATGGGGCGAGGGCGAGAGGTGAGAGGGATGGAGTCAAGGTGGAAGAGATATGGGGGATGGAATGAGGGGGATATGGAGTTCAGGAGATGGGAAGGACAGGAGTATCCAGCCATCAATCATTGTTGAGTCGTGTTTTGATTCGACTCAAAACACGACTCAGTTTCGGCTTTGGGGGATGGAGTGAGGGGGATATGGAGTTCGGGGGATGGGAAGGACAGGAGTATCCAGCCATCAATCATTGTTGAGTCGTGTTTTGATTCGACTCAAAACACGACTCAGTTTCGGCTTTGGGGGATGGAGTGAGGGGTATATGGAGTACCATTGGGTATATGGGATGGGAAGGACAGGAGTTTCCAGCCATCAATCATAGTTTGGAACCAGGGGCATGCAGCAACATCCCTTCCCCCTTTCCCTTTCCCTCTTCCCCCCCCTGTTTCCAAGTTCCCCTCTCTCTCCATTCCCCCTTCCCCCCGTAGAGCTCGCACCACCCACCAAAACTCCCCACCTCGGGCCCATAATTTCTAGTGGCCATGGCAGAAGCGGTGGGCCTGGCCACTCCTTCACAGTCCCAATCTCGCTGTCCCCCTCTCCTCTTTCCCCCCCCATCTTAACAGCTCCCACCAGCCGTCCAAACTCCCCACCTCGGGCCCGTCATTCATAGTGGCCATGGCAGAAGCTGTGAGCCTGGCCCCGTTCAGCTCTGGCAGCAGCGCTGCGAGGGGTGGCGAGCAGAGTGGCAGCAGAGCTTGTTGCATGCAATGTGAGTGCCTTGTGTTGTCTGCTGTGTGCTCCCTTGTGAGTCTACTCAAAAGCCATGGCAGCAGCGGTGTGCCTCACATCCCCATCAGCTCTGGCAGCAGCGCTGCGAGCAGAGTGGCAGCAGAGCTCGTGGCATGCAATGTGAGTGCTGGTGTGCACGTTTATGATCTTGTGTGATTGGTAATCAGAGCAGTGGCTGGTAAAACAGGCTGCTTTTTTTTAGGCGCCTCAAGAATAGGCTGCCTAGCTATCATTGGCAATTTCGACCCTTCCACGTTTTTTTTTTTTTTTTTTTTTTTTTTTTTCCAATGCATTTCTCTCTCTTTCTTTTTGTTTTTTGAAGCAGGAGCTGTTAGAAGAGAGTATGAGAGGCAAAGCGGAGGTGAAACTACAGCAGATTTTGAAGCTTCTCTCTGAGTTCACTCCTGCTTTAGTCGCGGTGCGTGCCCTTTGCTTCTTGTCCTTTGCTTCTACCACATGTTATGCACTTGTACACAAAGAATGGGTTTCTGGATGTGCATGCGCATCTTTCCACATCCATCCATTCATGATATGCATGAATATGCGTCTGCTTAACTCTTCTGTGCCTTGGTTCCATATGATCCCTTTTCTGCCATCACTGTCAGCCGGAACTGGCATCCTCAGCCAACCTTTTACGTGAGATGCTGTCACAGCGAGAGCGGGAGGAGCTGGCTTGGATGTACGAGAGGGCTGCCGGTCCCAAACATGCCAAACTAGTGAAGAAAACACTTGGGCTTTGATGGTGCTTTCACTCCAGACACTGTATTGTACAAGACATGGAGCTGGCTTGGATGGTGTAGGAACACCCTCGAAGACTCAAGTGATGATGCCTCTAGCCATGTGCTTGTGAGGGGACTTCTGGTGTGTTCATTGGAGCGTCAATCAAATTGTAGGAGGTACTATTCTTAAAGAATTTATACCAGCTATAATTCCACACATTTTTTGGAAGACACTGGCTGAGTCTGAGGTTGCGCCTTGATATTCGGAGGTTCAATTGGCTGTTCTTACAAGTTACAGGTCAAGAAAGAGTGTGAGGCAGTGAGGACGGTACCGGTAGGTGAATCCTGCCTTGGCCTTGGGAATATAGACGGGATCTCTGTATCATTTCATCACACAATAAAATGACAGACTGCATGCCTGACTAGCAACATCACACCAGCAAGACTTCCTACAGCTGTCTCTGCAATCCTAACTCCTGGTACTGCCCCGAATCATTACTACTTTCGATCCTCCACGCTTCACTTGCTGAAGAAATCTTTAATGCCCGAAAAAACAGTCCTGCAGGAGGGAGTTAAAGATCCACGGACAATCAAGGGAGGGCCCGGATTGGGTGGGAGAAGGAAAAAACAAACGCAAAAAAAAACAGTGATGAGCTGTAGCGCAAAAGACAACCAGAGGAAGGGAAATGACACGCTTACTAGGAGCTAAGGTCTTAACCGGAAGCGACCCTTCAACCAGGCCCAAGCTGCTCTTGCCCCTGCTGCTGCAACAGCCATGGTCAGAGCTAAGACTGCAGCCAGCAGTGCTGCATTCGCCACATGGCGCCATGTGATTGGCATTGCAGGGGATACGAACGGCTGGATGGTCTCCTCTGTGAATCTCCTGGCCTCTGATTGGATGGTTTGGATCACCCGTTTGGCCCCGCTGCAGGATCAACCAGAGCAACCAATGAGCGCAAGCGGCGTGTGTGCAGAACACGCGAGGCATTCCAATTATCATGGCTGTGAGGTGCTGGCTTCTGGGTCGACTCAAAAGCCACTTCGTGGTTGGGTGGTGCTTGTTTCTAAGACGACTCAAAAGGCCGCCAAGGGTTGTAAGGTGTTTGGGGGACAAAAAGTATATGCCTGGTTCTCTAATAGTTGTAGTTCCGGGGTTGAAGGTGTAACACCGGGGGTAGAAGACTGAAGGATAGAGGTCTGAATGGGCGAGGTGAGGGGCGGAGGAGGGGCTCACTTGACAGTGTCGACGATGCCCTCCCCATCCACGCCTGAGCTTGAAGAGGAACCCCGTGGCCCTGAAGGGGGGAGGGAGAGAAGAGAGAGGAGATGGGAGAGAAAGAAAGGGAATGTGAGAGTGGAGAGAGTGGCGTGGAGAGCATCACTTGACGGTGTCGATGATGCCCTCCCCATCCACGCCTGAGCTTGAAGAGGAACCCCACAGCCCTGAAGGGGGAGGGAATGGAGAGGGGAGAGGGAGAAAGCTGGAGTCAGGGGAAGAGAAAGGGTTGAGCGAGGGGAGAGCAGGTGAGGGAGCATTCAGAGTGCAATTAACCCTCCACACGCATGCACACAGTTAACTTTTGAGTCGACTCAAAAGTCAACTCGGGAGCATTCAGAGTGCAATTAACCCTCCACACGCATGCACACAGTTACAGCCACACACACAGGAAGCAAGCAAGCAGGAATGCACACGAGGAAGGAGCACTCACTGGCGCCCTCCACAGTGATGCCCGTGCGTGTCTTGCCCGTCTTGTGAATCGACGCCAGCTCCTCCACCAGGTCCCGCTCCGTGGGACTGCTCACAGCACATAGCACATGCGAGCAGAGAGAGAACGGGAGAAGAGAGATGAATCGAGCGAGTCTGTGGGGGATCACAGCAAGCCTGGCCCTGCCAGCTCCTCCACCAGGTCCTGCTCCGTGGGGCTGCTCCCAACACACCCCACATGCACAGCGGGGGTTTTTGAGACGTCTCAAAAATCTACTTTCTACATGGGGCTGCTCCAATCTACTTTCTACATGGGGCTGCTCCAATCTACTTTCTACATGGGGCTGCTCCAATCTACTTTCTACATGGGGCTGCTCCAATCTACTTTCTACATGGGGCTGCTCCAATCTACTTTCTACATGGGGCTGCTCCAATCTACTTTCTACATGGGGCTGCTCCCATCTACTTTCTACATGGGGCTGCTCCAATCTACTTTCTACATGGGGCTGCTCCAATCTACTTTCTACATGGGGCTGCTCCCATCACACCCCACATGCACAGCGGGGGAAAGGGGAGAGGGGGGTAGGGGGAGAGTATGGTAAATAAGTTTTCTCTTCGCCAGGTCTTACTCCGTGGGACTGGCGAGACCCCAGGCATGCAGGGTGGGAAACAGGGTGGGGAGGCGGATTCGTGCTGTGGAAAAAAGGTGTGAGGCGTCAGGTCATGAAAGGGCGTCAATGTCGAAGGCAGAGGGTAAAGAACCTCCGCCTCCAGAGGTTCATAGGGCCTCTGAACACCAAGAAAAGCCCTCCGCCTCTGTTCAGAGGCCCTCCGGCATAACAAGCCCTCCGAACAAGAATGAACGTGGCATCGACAAACCTCGACGCAAGATGTAAAACGGCAGGGGGGAAGAGGAGGGGAGTGCTGCATTGTACCCCTTCAAGGGGTGGCCAACCCGTTATAAGCACCTGACTCGTTTGGGGATAAAGACGTTGACTTGGAAGAAGTGGTCCCCGCGGATGTTGCTCTTGCCCACCTTGGGCACCCCTTTGCGCTCCAACACTAGTGTGTCGCCTGGCTGTGTCCCTGCCGGAACTCTCAGCTCCGCTGCCCCGTCCACTGTCGCCACCTGAAGAGACACAAAAAAAGGAACAAGCAGAGTGGGAGGGGAAACATTGGCAGCGGCACCTTGGCCACGCCCTTGCGCTCCAACACTAGCGTGTCGCCTGGCTGCGTTCCCGCTGGCACTCTCAGCTCCGCTGCCCCGTCCACTGTCGCCACCTGAAAGTGACAAGTGGGAGGATTGTAGTTTACAGATTAGATGGAGAGAGAGATTGTCACCTGCTGCAGCAGTGGCAGCGGCACCTTGGCCACGCCCTTGCGCTCCAACACGAGCGTGTCCCCTGGCTGTGTGCCTGCTGGCACCCGCAGCTCTGCTGCCCCGTCAACCGAGGCCACCTGGGGAGGCGGAGAGACATTGGAAGTAATGGTAGTGCAAAGATCGAGTGGTTAAGAGAGAGAGGTTGTGATGCCAATGCCAGCAGCAGCTTGAGCACGCCTTTGAGCTCCAACACAAGCATGTCGCCTGGCTGCATGCCGGCTGGCACTCTCAGCTCTGCTGCCCCATTAACTGTCGCCACCTGTGGAGAAAGAGATACGTGTGAGCATAACAGTGGAGAAGTTGAGGGGAAAGGGATTGTGTCAGCAGTAGTCCCTGCAAATGCCATCTAAAGCTGCACGCCTCAACTCCCAGAAAACACTTGGGCACATTCGCAGCATTACCCACCCTGTCCAAAGCACCCACCTTGGCGGAGGTGCCCAGAATGGCGTCAGTGTAGTCGACGCTGACGTTGGAGTAGAGGTTTATGCCGTCCCTGCGAATGCCACCTGCTGCTGCATGCCTCAAACACCAGACACCACGTGTTCACATTTGCACTCGCCCTGCCCTAAGCACTCACCTTGGCGACGGTCCCAAGGATGGCGTCGGTATAGTCGATGGAGACGTTGGAGTAGAGGTTGATGCCGCCCCTGCGAATGCCATGTATTGCAGCTTGCCACAGCCCCCAGATGGCTCTTGTGCACATTAGCAGCAACACAACTACCACCTTGGTCACAGCACCCAACTGGTAAAAACACTCACCTTGGCGACGGTCCCAAGGATGGCGTCGGTATAGTCGATGGAGACGTTGGAGTAGAGGTTGATGCCGTCCCTGCGAATGCCCATCGTTTCCTTCACCTTCACAAACACGTACAGGTCGCCCCGCTTGCCTCTGAGGGTGTGGTGGTGAGAGATCGGGGAGGAGATGGGGTGAGGGAACGAGGGAGGAGACTAGTAAGAGCCCGTCCCTGCAAATGCCCGGTGTCTCCTTCACCTTCATAAACACGTACAGGTTCGCCTCGCTTGCCCCTGGTGGGAATTGGAAGAGGAGGAGAAGGAGAAAAGGATGAGAGAGGGGATGTCGGATACAGGTAGGGGGTGCGGTTCTTTCACCTTCACGTATAGGTTGCCCTGCTTGGCGCTGGTGGGAATAGAAGGAGAAGGAAAGGACGAGAGCGAGTAGAGGAAACGAGGGAGCAGACTAGGCAGAGGTTGCCTTCCTGAGTCCACACCAGCAGGAACGTTGATCACCACTGGCTTACACGGTGCTGCTGCTGTTGTGATGTTGTGGTGGTAGTGCTGTGGTGGCAGTGGTGCTGGTGGTAGAGCTGGTGATGGGGTGTTGGTGGTAATGCTGGTGCTGTGGTGTTGGTGCTGGTGGTAGTGCTGGTGCTGGGGTGTTGGTGCTGCTGGTGGCGGTGTTGGTGCCGGGGTGGTGGTGCTGCTCGTGGTTGTCTATAGTGCTGGCGTGAACAGTACATCATCCACTCACTCACCCGCACATGTCAGCATCGCCCTCCCCTTTGACGCGGAGCACCGTGCCCGAGTCAACCCCTGCCAGCACGTTGATCACCACTGGCTTGTGTAATGCTAGCGCTGGTGGTGTGGTGTGCTGGTGGTGTGGTGTGCTGGTGGTGTGGTGTGCTGGTGATGTGGTGTGCTGGTGGTGTGGTGTGCTGGTAGTGGTGCTGCTGCTGCTGATGCTGGTGCTGATGTTAGTGGTGGTAGTGGTGATGGAGGTGGTTACCTAATTTGCTCGCGTGAGCACTCAACAACCAGCCCACTCACCCGCGCATGCCAGCGTCGCCCTCCCCTTTGACGCGCAGCACTGTACCCGAGTCCACCCCAGCAGGAACGTTGATCACCACTGGCTTGCGCGTCCGCACGCGCCCCTCGCCCCCACACTTGCGGCAGAACTCAGATATCACCTCCCCCACTCCTGCACACGTCGAGCACGTGGACACCTGCAGACAAAGGGACAAGGGAGGAGAAATTAGGTGGCTAAAAAGAAATAAACTCAGATAGCACCTCCCCCACTCCAGCACACGTCGAGCACGTGGACACCTGCAGACAAAGGGAAAAGGGGTGGATTTGGTGGGGGGGGGGGGTCATCAACACGTGGAGCTTTTGTCAACGCCCCTCATCATCCCTGTTCAAACACGCCCCTCCCAAACGCACACACCCCTCCCACTCACACACACGCACCGAGGAGAACATTCCGAAGGCCGTCTGCCTTGTCTGCATGACCTGCCCCATGCCCCGGCACGTGGGGCACGTGCGGGGGGACGTGCCCGCCTTGGCGCCCGAACCCCCACACTCGTTGCAACCGTCCAAATGCGCCCGACCCTCCACGCTGATGGTCCTCCACTCCGTTCAACCGCATTCCACACACCCACACACCCTTGACAACACGCCCCATGGGGTTTCGTCGATCCTTGGCCTCCCCCATACCCCAGACACACCTGATCATTCCACACCATTAAGAACGTACCGAGGAGAACATCCCAAAGGCTGTCTGCCTTGTCTGCATAACCTGCCCCATGCCCCGGCACGTGGGGCATGTGCGGGGGGACGTGCCCGCCTTGGCGCCCGACCCCCCACACTCGTTGCAGCCGTCCAGATGCGCCACGTTGATGGTCTTCTCGGCGCCGAATATCACCTCGCGGAACTCCAGCGGCATCTCCATTCTGATGGGCGAGGGAAGGTGTGGGCAGGAGCGGGCAGGAGTGGGCAGGAGTGGGCAGGAGTGGGCAGGAGTGGGTGAGAGAGGGAATGAGGGGCAAGGTGCACTTCGGACCCGCTGCACACCACTCGCTGCAGCCGTCCAGGTGCGCCACGTTGATGGTCTTCTCCACGCCGAATATCACCTCGCGGAATTCCAGCGGCATCTCCATTCTGATGGGTGAGGATGGGCGGGGATGGGCGGGGATGGGCGCGGATGGGCGGGGACGGGCGGGGATGGGCGAGGATGGGCGGGGATGGGCGGGGACGGGCGGGGATGGGCGGGGACGGGCAGGAGCGGGGAGGGATGAAAGGGACGTGAACGGTAGGAGTAGTGGCAGTGAGAGGTGGGAAGCGGGAGGGACAGACGCAACAGAGAGAAAGGGAGAGGTTAGAGGAGGAGGGTGGCGTGACGAAAGTGCAAGATCGACTTCTGCTGCACAAACCCGCCACTGGCAGCCAACCCCTCCCTCAGTCAGTCCCTCACTGCCAACTCCCTCACCCTCAGTCACTCACTTCCAACTCTCTCTCCCTCAATCACTCACTCCCCCCCTTGTCACCCCACCCTGCGCCACTCACTTGACATCGTCGCCCGGAACAGGTTGCCGCGTTCGCGGCCCAGCGCCGCCCATGCCGCCCATTCCACCCATGCCTCCCCTCGCTGCAGCGCCCATGCCCGGCCCGAATATGGACTCGAACAGATCGAACGGGTTCGACTGCACGACCACAGAGAGAGGTGGAACCAGAGCAGACCGAGAAAGTTCATGAGTTAAAAAAACTCGTAAAAGTCCGTCGCGTCCCGCCCATGCCACCTGCCTTCCCTCGCAGCAGCGTCCATATCCGACTCAGATATGATTTTGAACAGGGCGACAGGGTTCGACTGCACAGCCACACGTGTCGACAACGGGTACGCCAGATGGGTGGTACGTCTGGTTATTAGACTGGTTTGAGTGATTGGTTTAGAACCTGTCCTGCACGCTGATGGGCGCTGAACTGTGTGTACAGTAAATTGTGGAAAGAAAATCACGCTCCTGCATTGCATTCGTTCCGTTCCTTGAGCGCATATTGACTAGGAGTTAGATTACAACAAACTTCTCTCAACTTACACGCCAATGCATCCTGCACTCACCGTGTAGGCTCCCGCTCCTCCCATACCACCAGACCCAGACACGCCCGCCTCCCCACTTTTGAGACGTCTCAAAAGTCAACTCACACGCCAATGTATCCCATACTCACCGTGTAAGCTCCCGCTCCTCCCATGCCACCAGACCCAGACACGCCCGCCTCCCCAAAACGGTCGTATAGTGGCCGCTTCTCATCGTCCGAAAGAACCTGGCACGAAGGAGAATGGCCGTAAGCAGCGTGGTTGAAAACGTGAGGATCGAGAACACGAAAGACGGGCAAAGCACGGGAGCGCTCCTCGTCGATAAAAGCCCAATGCTGGTCGTAATGACATGCATGTGAAAATAGCAAGTTACAGCTAGAAGGAGACATGCTAGGAAGCGACATGTGGAAGGCATCGGCTACCTCGTACGCGCTACTGATCTCCTTGAACTTTTCCTCCGCTCCAGGGTCCTTGTTCACATCCGGATGGAACTGCACGTGGTTCAAAAGGGCGAGAACACGAAGGAAAAAGACTGGTGAGATGAAGCTCGAAAGAGGACAAAATCCTTCAAATCTGGCCAAAGGATGTAGCAACAGCAACAAGCATAAAGAAATTCGCACACTGTGCGTTGCAATGTCCTGCGAAGAAGATGCACTTCGCAGTGACGAACAATAAGGAGCTTCACCTGCCGAGCGAGTCGTCGGTACGCGCTCTTGATGTCTTGCTTCGACGCGTTCTTGGCAACTCCCAGCGTGGTGTAATAATCCGCCGCTGCCCTGACCGTTAGTCTTGTGCCTCGGGATCCCGAGCCGCGCGAACTGGGTACTCTACATCTGAGCAGGGCCGTTTGTCCTGGTCGGAAAAACTCATCTCTAGACGGAAATGCGAAGCTGGATGGCGTGAAGGACGAGTTTCTGGTTCCAGTGGACGACTGGAGCTGGCCGCTAGCTGCTAGCCTGACTGACGCTGACGGAATCTGACAAGCAGCCATGGTTGCTCCTTGGCACAAGCCCAACGACATCGCCTTCTACTGGTGCGTGCACGAATCCAACTGACCAGAACTACCGCCAATGGACAACGACGATTTCAACAGATGACTACAAGTTCACGAAGACACTAGCTAGAGATGCAGAGTTATCGGGCAATATGAATTCCAAGATGAACACAAAACGCATAGACAATGCCTGGCCTCTATGGATAGCCCAAGGATTCAGGAGTTTTCCATGGAGCGGGAAGGAGGCAATCTCGAGGTTAACTGATGATCTAGCGAATTTCGCGAAAGCCTTTCAGGCAGTCGAGATTCGAACTCTCGCGAGGAATCGGGACTGGGGACTGGCTGACGCAGCAGGCATATTGGCGGGAATATGGACACGCTGACGCGATTGCGTTCGCCAAAAGCGAGGCCCTGCTGGCTCACACGTGGCGTGCCAGAGACCCTGCACGTGGAACCTGAATTTTTGCGAGCGACAGTAGTATAAGCGGTATAATCACGACATCAACTATAACGAAAGTCATTTTCTCTTCAACAATGTACATTTGTCAAGGTGTCAGATGCTAATGTGTTATGCTTAACCCACAAACTTACGGTACAAAGTTCGTACGATAATGGGCTTGGGATTTACCAAAATGGGCATGGGCTACAAGCATTGCATTCCACAAGTACCTGCAAATACTAATGTCAGCCCACAAAAGATCAACAAGCTAGACAGCAGCAACCCCAGGAAAGGGCCCTTCCAAGGAACTATCCCAGGGCTTTCCTGTGCGCCAAAGAAATTCGAGAAATCCTCCTCAGTGATGTTAAAAGCTTCAGCGCCAAGTTCCGGCCTCATTGCCTTGTATACGCTCTTGCTCCCTGCTCAAAAGAACAGATGCAAAAGATAAGCTACCAGCTACCAATCCAGAGATGTCTGAACCAGACGAGTAACAGCTCGAAAGGAAGAAAAAAAAAAGCCCTTGAACACAATATTCTGCTTATTACCTGCAAGAAATGTGATGAATGGATGATAAGAACCAATTCGAATGCCAAGAATCTGCACGCCCTGCTCTCCCGCCTGCAGAGCATGGGCATACCCCATGGGGACCACCCCCACGTGGCCTGCCTGCACGGCATCACTGGCGGCGGTGGTGCCGTTGTGGTGCACCGACTCAAAGTGGCCCGAACCCTTGAGAACCATGAAGACCACCGCTGTGTTGCCGTGAATGTGTGGCGCCACCACCGCATGCTACTCAGGAGAGAGCGGCGTGGGAGAGGGGGTAGGGAAGAGGGAAGGGGAGAGGGAAGGGGAAGGGAGTGGGGGAGGGGAGAGTGTGGTGTGGAGGCAAGAACAGGGAGCGAGAGGAGGGGGTTTGCATATGCCATATCCCATGGGGACCAGACCACCCCCACTTGGCCTGACTGCACGGCATCACTGGCGGCGGTGGTGCCGTTGGGGTGCACCGACTCAAAGTGGCCCGAACCCTTGAGAACCGTGAAGACCACCGCTGCGTTGCCGTGAATGTGTGGCGCCACCACCGCATGCTGGAGGGGGGGACGATAAAAAAAGAGACAGGGAATAGGGGACGAATCATCAGCTGATTTCACACACAGAACAGAACCCTTGCCCACCGTGAAGACCACTGCTGTGTTGCCATGGATGTGTGGCGCCACCACCGCATGCTGAAAAGGGGCATGATCCAGCAGAGAGGAGGGTGAAGGGCGAGGATGGGGATGAGGATGGGGGTGAGCCTGGGGGTGGAAAATCAAGTGGAGGGCGTCTGAGACTAGAAAAACGCATCCCAAACCGTGCAACAAGTATCAGAACTTTAACCATCTCAAACTAAACATACCGGGTAAAGCGTGAGCAGCACAATTTCTCCCTCGATGCCTGCGACCCGGAGTGCCTTGAAGTCTCGGTACGACACGCGCACCATGCTGCCACCCTCCGTGGTGATTGCAGGCCGCCGTGCTGCCACATGATCCACCAAAACAGTATTCTTCTTCTTCTTCTTCTTCTTCTTTTTCTTCTCTTTCTTTCCCTTCTTATCTTTCTTCTCTTTTTTCTCCTTCTTCCCCTTCTTGCCCTTTTTCTTTTCCTTTTTCTTCTCTTTTTTCTCCTTCTCCTTCCCCATACCCTTCTTGCCTTCTAGAACAAACTCCATTCCACCATCAGCAAAACCCATCCTCCTCATCATAGCAGCACCCCTACCCAGTACTACTTCCTCCAACTCCCCTGACATATCCCCCTCTGACACACCACCCTCTGAACCATCCCCCTCCGACCCATCCTCCTCAGACTTATCCCCATCCTCCTCTGCAACATCCTCCTGTGCAGCAGGCTCAGGAGGCGAGGGTGGTACACAGCGGGACACGATGATCCCTCCTCCAGATGCCTGGTGCAGCAGCGCCCTAACCATGTCGTGCTGCTGGTTGAATGCCGTCTCCAGGATGTGCAGACTGAAGCCAGACAGCACCGAGTGGGGTTTGCTGCCTGCAAGGTACGATTTCTGCAAACAGAGGGAGGAACGAGGACTGATGGAAAAAAAAAAAAAACAGTAGGGAAATTGCGGAGGAGGGGGGGGAATTGATAAAGTAATATGTGCAGAATGGCCAAGACACCTGGAGAACATGCACCTGCTTGTGATGGCTGAATCGAACGGCTGTAATGATGAGCTCCGGTGATTCGTTGAGGTAATTTCCAATGCTGTACGTCCATCCCTTCGGAACCACCACAGCATCCCCGCTGTTCACAGTGATTGGTGACACGTCAGCAGGTGCCTGAAATTGTTGGCCCAACAGCCCAGCACACAGCAGAAAAAAGAAGGGAAATATAAATTTAAAACAAAAATCAGGGCACGATCAGTAACAGATTATATGGAAAGAATCAACTAGAAAATAACTGCCTAGAACAAAGCCATGAACATGCATGTTCATGATAAAAAAACAAGTGCTCCAGGAACACAAGGAAGGGAAGCTAACACGGCTTACCCTGCTGAAGGAACAGCAGAGACGGAGAGCCAATTGACACCCGAGGCAGCAGCAATCCGCACTGGCGAATCACAAGCCTCTCCACAGCCACGTCAGCTGCCTCCTTGAGAACGTCAAACGAGTAGGACACGATGTCGCCTCCGCCGAGACGCTCTGATGCTGCATGCTCCAGGCTCAACGTCCATGGTGGTTCAAGCCTGGCCTCCACATCTGTGGATGAAATATCAAGAAATAGAAGTGGTAATACCGTTATAGATTATAGGATTGTGCATCAGGCTGGACGATGCTTGAAAGCATTGATAGAAAGGCAAGTGAAGGATGACATAAAAAAACGTTGCGTGCTGCTCACTCTGAAGAACCAGGAAAACGGCTGACAATACGAGAGTGGCACGCGGAATCCTCATCTCTCTAGCTCGACGGCAGGCAAGCAACGAACGGGCAGGAACACTGACGAGAGAAACAGATAAAGAGCGACTCAAGAACGACAGGGCATCCAAGCGCAGTGTCCTGAGTTTAGAGCAGATGCAAGCTTGGGTGCGTCAGGCCTCGCCTCGCCTGTGCTTCGAAGTTCTCACCTCAGGCTTCAGCCTCCGTCGATCATACGATTTCAGCCTTCAGACCATGGAATGAATTTCCTTGAAAAGCTCGAATCAAGGGGCGCACATGGTCATGATGCTATCGCCACCACCTCCCAGACTGCAGCTGACGATGAGACAGCGACGCAATTGACTGATTAGCGCCACGTGCCTTGTGCGCGTGGTATATCCCTAACATGCAAGCAGGATGAACATGCTCAAGTATGCCAGGTTCGCTCTTGACTGCCGAGTGATTTGAGATTTCCCTTCGGACCGTTCTAGGAAATGCAGTGTTTTGTCCGCGACAACGACAATCCCAAGGAAAAGCTTTCCCGCCCAATTGGCGGGTGATCCTCGATTTTGAATTCACCAGGTGTTCTGGTCATCATGTTTTATCTAGAAGGGTGTAAGTAAATTTCCCTCTATTCCTTACTGCGACCATCAACATCGCGTACAGCAGCAACCGTAGTTCACCCGTTACTGCTAACGGGGCTTCGCCAACTTTGCGCGCAGTGTTTCACCAAACCTCGCACTGCTGGAGCAGCCAAGTCAGCCTACGCTTCGGGACTAGCCCGAACCTCGCGCCAGCGTAGCACTAGCTAGCTCGCACCGGGTTACCGTTTGCATGTTTCGCGTATAAGTAATCGCTCATGCCTTCGCTCACATTTTGTACTCGTTGAGCACTCTAATGCAATCCTCGCTACCTCGATTCATTGCACCCGTAACACTTGGTATCAGAGCCACTTTCTTTCGGACCGCGCATCCCCGCACCCCAAGAAATCAACTTTTGATCTTTCACTCGAAGGGACTCACTCCCCTTAGCACCTAGGAGCTGCTGTCTTCGCGTTCTCTCGTAAACGCATGCACCCACGACTGCGCCTAGACTAGGCTGAGCCGACGCCCTTCAATATGGCCGAACACATCGACGTCACTACGCTCACGCAAGGCCGTCTGAATGAACTGCTGCAGCTGTTAGAATAGGAGGCTAAGTAAAGCCTAGGTTTAAGTGAGGGCCTAGGCTTAGTAGCCTAGGCCAAGGGAGTCGAGGTAGTTTGTGCCAAGGAGAGAGGAATGGGGAATGATGTTCACTATAGCACTAGGGTACATATAGCAAACAAAGAGGTGCACCACCTATAAAGTTAATATCTACACTACAGCTAGAACTACATGCAGGTATAAGAATATAATTCTGACATCCCCCCGTAACTGCATGCAGGAATAGCTAAGTGCAGAACACAACCTGCAGAGGTACACCACAGACAGAGAAAACAGCAACAGCAGATAAGGCAACAGAGCAGGTACAGTAGCAAAGGGGCAGGCACTCCTGCCACCCCTTTACTCTCCTCCCCCCCCCCCCCCACTTCAGGAGGGGCGGCTGGTTGGTCTCACACCCGCCACCCCAGTGCCACTCCCCTGGCTCCCCCACACCCGCACACCCTCCCCCCAGCGGCAGCTGCAGCAGTGGGAACGAAAGGAGGAGGAGGGGAAGGGACACACACCACCCATCACCCCCACACCCGCCACCCCCATACCCTCCGTTCCACGGCTGCACGCGCAGCAGGGAGACGAAGAAGGGGGGGGCGGGGGGGGGAGCAGCAACGGGCAGCACAGGCACGGGCGGCAATGGGCAGCACAGGGAGGCGGCTGCACCGGGTCCAGGAGCGGCGTCGCATGCAGCTGCAGGGTCGGCACCGTGGGGTCCAGGGGCGGCGTCGCGGGGTCCAGGGGCGGCGTCGCGGGGTCCAGGGGCGGCGTCGCGGGGTCCAGGGGCGGCTGCTCCAGGGGCAAGGGGCGGCTGCTGAGGTCCAGGGGCGGCTGCACCAGGGGCGGCTGCTCCAGGGGCCAGGGGCGGCTGCTCCAGGGGCCAGGGGTGGCTGCTCCAGGGGCCAGGGGCGGCTGCTCTGGGTCCAGGGGCGGCTGCTCCAGGGGCGGCTGCACCAGGGGCGGCTGTTCCGACGCGCAGCCCCCCCCAGGTCGCCCCGCCTGTCGCCTGTCGAGGCGACCCGAGGGGGCCGCGCGCGACAGGCGACGAAACCGCCGCACGCCTCGGGGCGCACGACGGGCAGGGCACCGTCGCGCGCCACGGGGCGCACGACGGGCAGGCAGGCAGGCAGGCAGGGCACCGTCGCGCGCCACGGGGCGCACGACGGGCAGGCAGGGCACCGTTGCGGGCGCCAGGGGCGGGTCCGCGGCGGCTCAGGGCGCCGTCGCGGGCGCCAGGGGTGGGTCCGCGTCGGGCAGAAAAAAAAAAACGTCACGCGCCACCCGGGCGCGGGACAGAACGAAAATCGCCACGCGCCCGAGGCGCGCGACCAGAAAAACAGCAGCGGAAGCGAGAGGTTGGCCCATAGGCCAGGACTTAACAGGCTCTGATAGCATGTTAGAATAGGAGGCTAAGTAAAGCCTAGGTTTAAGTGAGGGCCTAGGCTTAGTAGCCTAGGCCAAGGGAGTCGAGGTAGTTTGTGCCAAGGAGAGAGGAATGGGGAATGATGTTCACTATAGCACTAGGGTACATATAGCAAACAAAGAGGTGCACCACCTATAAAGTTAATATCTACACTACAGCTAGAACAACATGCAGGTATAAGAATATAATTATGACAGCAGCAACTTCGCGAAAGCTCTGAAGAAATCGCGGCGCTGACGGCAGAACGCACGTCCTTGCAGAATGTGTCAAACATTAATCACATAGCCTGTTTAGGCTGTAGTGGGGTAGACACTATGGGGTACAGTTTGTTAGGGTTTCCTATTTGTACCCAACTCATTTCCTAGTCATTCACTCCTCAATTTTTTCACATGGTATAGAGCTAGTTCGATTTTTTTCCTAAGGGCCCACCACTTTTTTTTTTTTTTTTCCTACCTCCCCGACGCGCGCGTCGCGCCTGCCCTTCGAGGCCCCTTCGCGGCCCGTAGTGGCCTCCTTTCACGGCCCGTAGAGGCCCCTTTGCGGCCCGTAGCGGCCCCTTCACGGCCCGTAGAGGCCCCCCCCCCCCCCCCCCCCCCCCCCCCGTAACGGCCCGTAGCGGCCCCTGCGCCTGCCCTTAGAGCCAGCGCCGGCGCCCAAAGCCGCCGCGTCGCGGCCCGGCCCGGCGCCCCGTCGCCCCGTCGCCTGGTGCCCCGTCGTCCCGGCCCGGCCCTCCACGGCCCCCGTCGCGCCCCCCCCCCTCGTCGCGGCCCCCCCCGTTGCGGCCCCCTGTCGCGGCCCCCCGTCGCGGGCCCCTCGTCTCGGCCCTGCCCCGTCGCCCGGCGCCGCCCCTGTCCCGGACCTGTCGCGGCCCTGCCCCGACCCTGTTGCGGCCCTGTCGCGGCCCTGCTGTGACCCAGCCCCGGCCCTCCTCCGGCCCTGTCGCGGCCCTGTTCCGGCCCTGCCCCGGCCCTCCCCCGGCCCTGTCGCAGCCCTGCCCCGACCTGTCGCGGCCCTGCGCCGGCCCTGTTGCGGCCCTGTCGCAGCTCTGCCCCGGCCCTGCCCCGGCCCTGTTGCAGCCCTGCCCCGGCCCTCGCCCCGGCCCTGTCCCGGCCCTGCCCCGGCCCTGCCCCGACTCTGCCCCGGCCCTGCTCCTGCACTGCCACGGCCCGGCCCCGGCCCTGCCCCGGACCTGTCGCGGCCCGGCCCCGGCCCTGCCCCGGACCTGTCGCAACCCTGCCCCGACCCTCCCCCGGCCCTGCCCCGGCCTAGCCCCTGGTAAGAGCATCGCCGGGCCGAGCCGCCCTGCCGAGCCGCGCTGCCCTGCCTAGCCGTGTCGCTTAGCCGAGTTGCACTGCTGCTGCTGCTAGCCTGCTGCTGCTCCTGTCATGGCTAGTCCTAGTGTTCTTACCTTTGATGCTGAGGGTCGAGCGGTTGACTTCGATGTCTGGCTAGATGATCTGCAGCTTTTCCTACAGTGCGATAGCAAGGATGGTCTCTCACTGTTCGATCTCACGTCTGGCGCCTCTACTGCCCCTACTGCTGATGCTGACAGTACTGTTCGCTCGCAGTGGCTCACGCGCGATGCTGCTGCCCGCCTTGCTGTGCGTAGTCACCTACCGTCTACTGAGCGCGCGCACTTTAGTCAGTACAAGAGTGCTAAGACTCTGTACGACGCTGTATTTGCACGCTACTCTTCCCCTGCCACTGCTGCGCTTAGCCGCCTCATGCTACCGTACCTGTTCCCTGACCTCGCCGCTTTTGCCACAGTCACTGACCTCATTACGCACCTCCGCACTAGTGACACTCGCTACCGCGCTGCACTTCCTGCTGAGTTCTGCGCAAAGAACCCCCCCCCCCCATGTACATCACCCTCTACTACCTAGTCACCCGACTCCCTGACACTCTTCGCTCGGTCAGGGACCACTTCCTCTCTCTTTGCCCTACCACCCTCACCGTTGACCTCCTCGAGGAGCGCCTCCTTGCAGCAGAGACTAGTATTACCGCTGTAGGAGCCTCTCGTGGTGACCCCTGTACCCCTTTCTTTGAGGGGTGCTCCCCCGTTCCTCTTTTGCCCTCCGTTGCCTCTGCTGCTGCTGTCGACCTTGTTGGCACCGAGTCGGTCAGCGCTGCGTCTGCTCCTAGTGAGAGGCGCCGCAACAGCAAGGGCAAGCGGGGCAAGGGCGCTGGAGGAGGTGGTGGGGGAGGCGATAGTGGCGGTGGAGGCGGAG